TGTGCAATTACAAAATACCACCCAAAGCCATGAAAAAGGTGAGGAACACCAACCAGCCACAGCCCTAAATCCTCCATCTTCCCCATGTATTGGTATATTCTAAAACCTTAAACTCTAAATTTTCCACCCTGTGATATCACACACTTCTAATCAAACTCCACACCCATAATCCCAGTGCTATCAATCAATTTTGGGAGCCTTCTCCAAAAGGTCTCAGGTCAAATATAGTATTTTTTTGTAGGTCTGTGCCCTTCAGCACAGAAATTTAAAATTCTCAGCATCCAGAATTCCAACAGGGATCAATGCTGATGTCGGCGCCGCCTCAGTTCTGGATTACCACGTCAAGAAAAGGCAGCTTGCACTCAGGTTAAATCCAACCAGCAGCCAGGGGAAAAAAGCATTGTGGGGGAAGAAACGAGATGGAATGGAAATTCAAGCACCACGTGGCTTTCTTGAGGAAATGGATTTGTTCTTTGTGATTGAGAAAGGCACAGTTGTTAATATTCTCTTTATTTGCCAACAGACGTGCCTTGCAGCGCCGTGTCTGTTACCAAGCTGTGACAGGCTGGCTGTTGTAAAGCGAGGTACTTTGCATAATTAGTGTGAAGACGTGAACAGATGAGCACTAATTCTTAGAAGTTAATGATTGTCAATTATCTCCCCCTTTTTTTTTTTCCTGGATCTAGTCCAAGATTAGCGGAATATCAAGTACCTCAAGGTACGGTTCCTTAATTGGCCCAAGCACAATTATTGCCAGCTGTCACCCCAAAATGTGGCTTTGCCTTTTGACCTGCCTTCATCAGCAGTCAGGTCAGCTTGCTGCTGTTTGAAAGCGTTGTTTTCTTTTTAATTCCTGGGCTGGAGGTTGTTTGGATCCATAAGCTGATCCGACCTGACACATGGCTTCCAGATCGTTAGTGCAGGCAGAAAGGGGGCGAGAAGGGTGAGGCTGTCCCTTGCAGCCCCAGGAGATTTTATCCTGCCTTAAACCCACAGAGAAATCCCAGCTTCTGCTCAAAAGTGGTGCAAAAATTCCCACTTCACCTATTTCAGCTTCTTACCCGCTCCAGAATTTGACTCATAGGTGCATAAATAGCTTCCAGCACTTGTCTTGCCCAAATCTTGTTGGAATCCAGGATTTTGGAGCTTCCTTAGGACCGTGTTTCTAAACACACCTGTATTTTTTGTTATTTTCAGCAGCAGGTTACTGTAGGTTTAACTGTGGTTATGTAGATGGTGGATCCAGAGGCACAACTTCCAGGGAAGCATCCCACAGGTTTGTGTGGAGGTTCTTGTTTCCGTTTGAATTTGTGCTGCTGGAGCAAAATGAAAAGGAGTGCTTGTTTTGGAGATGGGAAAAGTCATGGATTTTTGTTCCCAGACAGTCTTTTTGTTTTTGGGAGATGACTGTTTAATGTGAAATCCAAGAAAATGCCTTTATTTTCCTCTCTCTGACTTTATACACAGTTTAGCCTGTATTGTTTAAAAGCATGTTGTAAGAATTCTAATTATTCTCTTCCCTATTTCTGAATGGCATCTTTCTTCAGGCACACAAGTCTTCTGTGTTTAGTGTCAGCCTTTGAATGTAATGATTTATCCACACTTGAAATGACATTAAAAATTTTTCTGTGAAGGAGCTTTTTCAAAGAATTCTCTCATTCTGTCACTTCTTAAATAAGGCTAAGAAAAATATTCTGCTAAATGTCTGTTTAATATTAAGAATGAATTAAATATCTTTATTGGACATAACACCTTAATGTGAAATAATGAATGTATAATTTGCTCTGTGCTTTCATGTTTTATTTCAGCACTGACATCCAGATTTACCTGGCAGAAATGTTTTAGCAGCTTAATCTGAGATCTTTAGATATTTTTAAGGGCTACACCAAAGTTACAATTGATTTGAAAAATAATGAAAGTAATTCGAGGAGAGTAAAATTGCTAACCTAAAACCTTAAAAAAGGAAGGAAATACCCAACCTGCGAGGATTCTCCTCCCCCAATTCTTCTTCCTTTTTTCTACCCAGCACTTGAACTGATCAGAAAATACTTCCCCAGAGCTCAAAAAGACAAAAACCCCATTTATTTTGCTTTTCTCTGCTGTGGTTTTCTTGCACAGGCTCGTAACACTACTTCTTTGAAATAATAAATGTGTTTTATTGGGTCACTCTTTTGTGGAAGCCTTTGAAATTAAAATTTAAATATCTTAGGAGTAGGTAACCTTGTTTCATAGGTAATGTTTTTTAATAAAATGGAAAAAGTCTTTCCCCGTGAGTTTCCTTAATTGTTCTTTGTCAAATTGAGTTCTAACATTTTTCTATAAGTGATCAGTACAGATAGGGGAAAAAATGGTGAGAAAATCAAGATGTGTATTGCTGCTCTGTTTTTAATGCATAAGGAGTTCTAAAAATGTTACAGATCCTTAAAAACCTGCTTTTGGCTGGAGAATTAAATTTGCCTTCGCAGTTGACCCTGAGTAGCAGAGGAATTATTGCATCTTGTTTTTGAGGAGCTGAAGGAAAATCTCCTTCTTGTGCCCTCAGCATTTTTCCTGTTGACTGTTTCTTTCCTCACTTTGAGCAGGAACAGGAACATGCATCCTCTGATATGGAAAATGTTTTATTAAAAGTCACTCTGGGAGCTGCTTGCTGTGTCAGTGCAGAAGTCCTTGGACATGCTTTTTCTCTCAGTCCTTCCAATTTGTCCTTCAGATCCTCTCAGAAATCATGGAAGCAATTCCTTTGCAGGCAGGTCAAGAAGCATTTTGAGAAGGATTTCACTTAGGGACAGCTTTGTACAAAAAGCTGCTTTCATGTTTTTTGGTTTTTTCAGAGAGGCTCCAGCAATCCTGCAGCTGCTCCTCAAATAACTGTGAGCTTGTGCAACTTGTGTTGCTGTTTCCATACCAACAAATGAAATAAGTCCAATTTGTGCCCACAGTGAAGAGTCTGGGGATTTTTTTTTTTTTTTCTGCTCTCTATCTCATGATTTGGGAAGTGTAAAAAGAAGAGCTCTGAATAGCTTGTAGTGAATCATCTGTCAGCCAGCTGCTCTGGGCTCCTGGTTAATGATGGGATGGAAATTTTCCAGAATAAGATACAAAACCTTAATTTTATAGAACTGTGAGAGTCAGATTTAGGTGAGGTTTGAAAGAATGAATAATTAGTAGTTGCTTAAATGTGCAGCATAAAGTTCAGCGTGGATTTCCTGGCATCACCCCTGTGGGCAAACATCTGATTGTACCTGATGAAGTCTTTGCTGTCATCAGTGGCTTTAATTTCTGTTTCCATATCTAAGAGTGGGTCAAAATATCCATCCATCCATCCATCCATCCATCCATCATCCATCCATCATCCATCCATCCATCTGATGGGATGGAAATTTTCCAGGATAAGATACAAAACCTTAATTTTATAGAACTGTGAGAGTCAGATTTAGGTGAGGTTTGAAAGAATGAATAATTAGTAGTTGCTTAAATGTGCAGCATAAAGTTCAGCGTGGATTTCCTGGCATCACCCATGTGGGCAAACATCTGATTGTACCTGATGAAGTCTTTGCTGTCATCAGTGGCTTTAATTTCTGTTTCCATATCTAAGAGTGGGTCAAAATATCCATCCATCCATCCATCCATCCATCCATCATCCATCCATCATCTTCTAAGATTGGGTCAAAATATCCATCCATCATCCATCCATCCATCCATCCATCATCCATCCATCCATCATCCATCCATCCATCATCCATCCATCCATCCATCCATGTATGCAATATAAATTGAAATATTCCAGGTAAAAAGAACAATTGAGGGATTCAGAACTGAAACATTTGACCTAAAAAGGGATAAAATTAATGCTGGGGGCTGCAGTGACTTTGTGCTTCGCATGGAAGTGTCTCCAAATGAAGTGTTGTGTGTCCTTTATCTCTGATGTTTGAATTTCACTTAGATTTGCCATAATGGAAACCTTTCATGTTCATTCTTTCTTTCAGAGAAAGTAGAGCATAATAATTGTAGTATTGCTGAAAAAAACCTATTGGCTTTTTTACTTGGCTAAAGTAATGCTGAAAATAGAAATATTTGACCTTACTTTATTGTTTGTTTGAACTGCTCATAAATTTAGCTCTGTTTGACTGTTTCTGTGAGAGGCATTTGTTTCCTGGAGCTGAACAGCTCATAGTTCTATAAACAAGCCTATAAACAAGAAATCCCATTCAGTAATATCAACAGTGAAATTTCTTGTCTTTTATCTGTATTTAAACAAACTCACAGAATGTTGCCTGGAAGCACAAATTGTGTTGCTCTCTGTGTGGCTGTTGTAGCTGAAAGATGCATATTGGGCAACTGAATTAAAATCTATGTAATGAACTATTCACTTTGATTATAAAAAAATCTGTCTGGCTGTTGCAGATGGAATTTTTGCCTGGTTTAAGGATAAATATTGGACAGCTGAGTCAAAATTGATATAATAAGCTATTCATTTTTATGGTAAAAAATCTCAGCAATACTTGGCATTGTTTAATTTCCCTTTATTGTTTGAATTGATGATCCTGGAGGTCTTTTCCAACCTTAATGATTCTCCTGATGGTGCTGGAGGTGCCAAAACTTTCCCAAACTCCTGCTGGGATATTGGTGCACCCATGGTCCCTTCTGATGTTACTTTGCTTTTTCTTCTCTGGTAGAAAAGGGAATTTCTGCTGGCCAGGTGAGAGCAAACCTGAGCAGCAGTTTTTGCCAGGTTAGAGATTAACAGAGCTCATGGGTTGAAGGAATAGTTTTGAGTTCCTGTCTTCTCTCAGTGCTGTGGACTTTATCTTTTAGTGGGCAAAAATCATCAGGAATGACTTGATTTAAGGTCCATATCTCAAGAAAATAACCCCAAATTGAAGTGTGTCCATTTACTTTCTGTAATAAAGAAAACAAAGCTGGGTCAGCTCTTCAGCCTCCCAGTTTGACATTTCACAGCAGTGACCTTGAGCACAAATTCTCTTTTTTTTTTTTTGCAGCTGCAGCCGCCTCCGAAATATTCAGACTATCCTGACACAGAGCAGCAAATCTCAGCCTGATGGAATCCTCTGCATTTTAGGTTAGTGTTACATTTTTTGTTCTCATTATGCTGATAAAGATACCGTGAGTTTCTGAAAGAAGAAATTCATCTTGCTGCTCCAAGCCTCAGCCTGGTTTCTCAGCTGATGTTACATTCTCTTCTCCCTAAACAATTCCTCATCCTATTTACTAATTTTGGGCTAAGAATTTTAAAGACTGGCTCCAGAAACCCAGGAAGCAGTTAGGAGTTCAGTGTTTGCACATAAAATTCATGTGGTTTCAGTGCTTTATTTCTGCTGGGATTGGGAGAAAAGGGCAGCAGGAAATAAAGGTGCACGTGCAAGTGTGGGAAAATAACAGGGGTTTTGTATTGCTTTAATACCATTTCACTGAAATACCATTTCTCTTGTTTCAAATTATATAAGCAGTGTCAAGATCTTAAAGGAAAAATGCAGACATTATGATTGAAAACTTGAATTACTGAGGAGTAATTGTTTAAATAATGTATTGCAGTTAAATAGCAGAAATCTGATGTAGCCTAAAGAAGCTCTGTGTAGGAAGTGACACCACAGTCTGATTTTTTTTGGTTTTATTCTGTCTTTAATGATGTAGCAAGAGAACTTAAAGCTCATTTACTGGACCACAGAATAAAATTTATAAATAAATAAATGAATGTAAAAATAAAAGTATATATAATTATATATATAGTATTATACAAAATATATATAAATTTATAAATAGATATATAATATCTATAATATATACCTATATAATATATATTATAATATATAGTAGATAATTTATAGTAGATAATAATTTATAAAATTTATAAACAGATAATCATTTATAATAGATAACATTCTCTTCTAGTCAGTGTTAACTGTACAACATGACCCTTCCTACCCTGCATTTTCTAGGGTAAGAGGTTAAGTCTCTAAGTAGTAACTGTACAGCCAGAAGCTCTGTGAGGTCACTGTGTCAGCCTTGCAGTGAAACTTAATCATACAGGATAAACTCCTTGGGTTTTGCCTTTGCTGCTAATTTAATTCCATAAAACATGGAATTAATATACATAAATAAAAAAAAAAACTCCCCATAATTTAATTCCATAAAACATTAACTGATGACACTGCAGTATTTCTTAATTATTATTGACTCTGAGACTGCAGAAAGTCCCAGGTAAGGAGCAGTGACTGAAAGCATGGCTCAGCTTTAATGAAAGCAAAGGAATTGTTTTGTGTAATCCTCAGTGTTGTGTGGGGGATTTAATTCTCTTCAGAAGAACATACCTCTTTACAAATAAGCACTAGTGGTATGGAAACATGGGAGGTGTGTTTTTTTGGGAGATCTGTGCTTTGCCCTGATCTCTCAGCACCCACAATGGGACTCCTGTCTGCTCTGGCCTGGCTCCTGTAGCCTGCAGAATTTCTGGCATAACTTCCATGAAACAGGCATGTCACTGTTAGAAATGCATTAAATCTGTCATCAAACACGAGCTTCTGATGACAAAACCCATGTAGTTTTACATCCTGAGTCCTCTTGGCTTGTGTGGAAAGTGGATACTCACAACTGTGGTTTTTCACAGGCAGTGCATGTTCTGTTTCACCTGGCTGCTTTTAATGGCCTGCAGTTAATGCAGCTCCCTCACCTCCACTTCAGTTTCATACTGGGCTGGGAGATAAAACCAGAATAAACTTCCCCAGCTTTACTTCAAGTTCATTAATATTTGTACTGAAATCAAACCCAGCACTGGGAGATCCCAGAGAGAGATGAGAACTGAGCCACTGTTGATGCAAATACTTCAATGGCATTACAGCTGATTTTTAAAAAAGAAACCTCTAATCTGATTTTGAAGGGGTTGCAGGGTAACATTCCTGCATTCTTTGCTGGGGAGAAAAGGCCTCACAGCTGACAGGAAAAAGGAATTTGGAGGTGGGCATGTCAAATGGCTTCAAGAAGCTGTGATGTGTTGCTGTTCAAACTGACCTGCTTAAACTATATTTTAAGTTATTTTCTGTGATAATGGTGTTTCTTGGCATCTTGATTTTCAGCTCCTGGTTCAGCAGCTGTGATTTCTGAGGATGTGCATTAGCTGTGAGCAGGGGGTGGCTGTGACTATTGCAATTGTAGCTTGTCTTTATATATAATTGTACATATATATAATTGTAGCTGCTCTGATTGTGGATTAAGCTGTTTCACCATTCAGAATGAGCTGAATTTTGCAAATATTGACATTTATTTTCTATTCTCCTCGAAGAGTATGGGGATACTTTTAAGGCTGTTGCAGTAAATATTTATTTTACTTTGGTTCTGTTCACATACTGCTTTTTTAGATTATAAATAATCTAATAAATAATCTAGATTTGGGTTATGTTTTATATATTTAGACAATATAGTTATATATTATATAAATATATATTATATCTATAATAAAAATATATAACAGATAACATAAAATTATACATAATATATAATATAAATATATAATTAATTATATATAATTATAATTATATAATATATAATATAAATATATAATATGTAATTATAATATTATATATAATATATAATATTATTATAATGACATATAATCTAAATATAAACATATAACATATAAAATTATATGTGATATATAATAAATTATTTTATTATATAATTAGATATATAATCTAAATATACAATATATAATACATATAATTATGATATATAATAGATATAATATTGTATAATTATATATAATAGAAATATATCATACATAATATAAAATGATAATATAATATATATAATATACATAATCTATATATACTATATAAAATATATAATCTAAATAAATCATCTAGATTATTTATAACCCACAAAATCAGTATGTGAACAGAAAGATAATGTTCACATCATCTTTTTTAGATTCTTTTTTCTCCATTGTATCCATCCCACACAGAGCTCTCCCTGCTGGGGTTTCTCCCACATTCTGAGAATCCTATTGCTCTGCTTGTTCATCCCATTCCCTTTCCAAACAGAGACTATTTTTAGGATTATTCTGCAGCACTTCCAGACTTCTGTTGCTTTTGGGCCAATATCTGAAGGTGATGTGTCCATTCCCTCCATCCTCACCCTCCTGCTGTCCCCATTTTGCATCCCTGCCAGTGCCCTTGGGTATCTCCCACCCACTTGATCTTAGCCAGCAGACAGATTTCCCCCCTGCATTTGGCCAGAATGCTTTTGTGAAAAATGCATATTAGATGATTGGCTCTTTGCAAATATTAAAATGGGTTATGTTGGAAAGTTATGTTGTATTAATATCTTTTAAGTAGTGTGGTAAATATAATTTTTGGGCTGTAGCATAATATTAAAATAGAAACTATGTGATGTGAGATACTTTTTTTTGTAACTGACTCAAGAAATGGAAAAGATAACCAAGAAATTCTTCTCATTATTATTCATCTCTCTGGATGGAGATACAACAGGATTCCAAGAAAAGAATTATTGCCTCCTTATTGGGAAGGCCCAGATTGGAGGAACCAAGGCGATTGATTTACAAGGTGGAGGGGGGAAGTTGCTTCCCTCCATCTTGTAAATCAAGATAAACAGAATAATCCTTAGTTTGAAAGGAATGTTTGCATCATGTATGAGATACATGAATATGCAACAGGCTGTTTTTTTTGAGGGTTAATCCTTTGTTAGAGAGCTCTGCTTTTTGGGGCTTAGTGCCCAGGAAGCATCCGGAGCTCCATAATTCTTTGCTTTTATTTTCCTGATTGTCAAAATTCTTATTTCTTTAATTTTTTTTATTACTATTTTCATAACTACGTTATTGCTATTAAACTTTTGCAATTTTAAAACGAGTGATTGGCGTTTTTCACACTTTGTGCCAATTAACAAACTGCTGAGGGGCAGCTGAGCCCTGCCTGGGGAGCAGAGCAAGAACTCGAGGCTCAGCCTGACTCAGGGTGTGCCCACACCCCTGCCAAGGGCTGGCAACAGGAGGGGGAGTTCCAAACTCCCAGCTCAGCTGGAGACAGGCGTCGGGGTTTCCTAATTAATGGCCTTGCCCATTGTTCTGGGGAGGACTCCTGATATGCTCTCGTGGGTATCTTATCTTGGTCATTGTTTCATTTCCTGTTTGTTTTCTGCTAGCTATATCTGTTCCTTTAACTCCATATGTTGCTGTAGGATAGCACTAAAGGCTCAGTGTGACAGCTCCTGTCTGGATAGGATACTTGAAAGACCCAAGTAAACCACAAATTCCAAATATTCTGCAGAATTCATGGTTTTATGTTAAACAATTGCCTTCCCTGCGTGGCTGTCAGTGCTCTGCAAGCAGTAAATTCACCCATGTCCTCTATTATGAGAGTTAAATTTGTCAGCTGTCCCCCTTTCAGATCTTTTGTTTTCTCTTCCCCTCCTTCTGTCATTAACTGAAAAAGCAGGGATTTGGAGTTTGGCTTGGAAGCTCTTCCCTGCTCTAAGCTGCTGTACCCAGATAAAATCTCAAACTCTTCAAGTGATGGTGACATCAACTTTTTTTTTTTTTTTTAAGTGAAGGCAGTTTCTCATTTTTCTTCTGATCTTCCAGAAATTAGAATCACAGGATCATAGAATGGTTTAGATTGGAGGGATTTTAAAGATTACACAGTTCCAACTCAGTGCCATGGGCAGGGACACCTTCCACTATCCCAGGTTGCTCCAAACCCTGTCTGACCTGGCCTTGGACACTTCCAGGGATCCAGGGGCAGCCACAGCTTCTCTGTGCCAGGGCCTCCCCACCCTCACAGGGAACAATTCCTTCCCAACATCCCATCCATCCCTGCCCTCTGGTACTGGGAAGCCATTCCCCTTGTCCTGTCACTCCATGCCCTTGTCCCCAGTCCCTATCCAACTCTCCTGGAGCCCCTTTAGCACTGGAAGGGGCTCTGAGGTCTTTCTGGAGCCTTCTCTTTTCCAGGCTGGACATTCCCAGCTCTTTCAGCCTGTGTGTGCCAGATTATTGCTCCTCTGAGTCTTCAGAAGGTGCCTCAGCTAGGCAGGTAATCAGTGGAACAGATTATCCTGAGGAGATTGTGTGTGCTCACTTCCCAGGGCTGCAGCTGATTCCAAGGAGACTGATTACATTGAAATGGACTTCCCTAAAACAATGGGACAGTTTCTTCCTGACAGAAGGGAGTCTCCACTTGTTTGTAACTAAAATCCCACCTAGACACAAGGGCTTTGGCAGCTATATTTGTATGCTGAGTCCCACTGAATTCCAGATTACATTGCTGTGCCTGCTTTCACGGGGCTGAAAATGTAAATGAAACAGAGGGACACTTATGAATGAGAGGTCAGAAACAGCAGGAGAGTGAGGATTCCAAGATTATGGCTGGTAAAAATACTTTGAGGGCTGAGAAAGCTGGGACAGATGTGAGGCAGCTTTCCACCAAATACCAGATACCTTGGAATACATGTGAGCTACCAAAGTCACTGAGCAAACTAAGAGTTTATTAAGATGTGGGATTCAGTAGTTGGATGCAGACACATCATCTGGTTTAGCACTCTAAAGCTGAAGCATAACATGAAAAAGGAGCATAAACAGGAGAACCTGGGGTTTGTTCCAATTTTTGCCAAGTCCAGGTGACTCTTGATTGTTTGGTTTCCAGTTCAAGTGCTGAGACTCAGATGTTCAGGCCAGGTTATTACATTATCAATGTCCTGATCTCTCTTTTAGCAGTGGTAACAAATCCTATTTCGTTGGCAGCCCTTCCACTGTATCCTAATGTAACAAATCCAAATTTGTTGGCAAGCATTCCACTGAATCCTAATATAACTTGGTAGGAAAACTTGCTGTTAGAGGAATTTTTTCACAGCCAGTGCTGGTGACCTCTGTGAAATGTGGATGGCAAGGATGCTGCTTTATGTGCAGTTGTACTTGTTTGAAAAAACTGGGTGTATTACAGTAGAATTATGGCTGTGACTGTCATCCAGAGAGATGAAGATTGATGAAAATAGTTTCTAAATCTATGACCTCATTGCTTTCTTCTTGAATTTATCTTCTGTCTCTTCATGTTCCAGATCTTCAGTTGTTTTCATTTAATTTTCCCAAGGACCAGGAAAGGTTTCCTTGGAAGCTCTTTGTGCCCCCTATTTTTTGTCAGAACGTCTTTTCACAATTTGTCAGAAGTCTGCAGTGGCTCTCTGGTGACTCAGGGATTGCTCTGTAGCACGGATAAGATAATGTTTAATCATGTATTCTAAAGCAGGAGATTTGGGTCACGGGATTAGTTTGTTAGGAAGCTTCAATCAAACACATATTAATTAGAATGCATCCTGCATCCAGACAGATGTTTGAATGACTAGAAAAAAACGGAATTTTGGATGCACAGCACAGCAGAAAACAATACTTCTAAAATTTTTAAGGAATACTCGTGGATTTAGGTTGAAAGGGGGATGTCAGCATGTGGCAGTGATCTTGCAAAATCTCCTTTTTCCCTACCCTGTTCTCTCAGTGTGTTCAGTTGAGGAGTTGAGTTCATACTCCTGCTTTAAAGTTTAATAAATTGAGGGAGAAAATAAACTTTTCAGGTATGCAGTGTTAGGACACACACCAATTCTCCTGTGGTTTTGCTTTGCAGGGATAGACAGTCGATACAATGAAGGGTGCAGAGAGCTGGCAAATTATCTGCTCTTTGGTTTGTACAACCAGAACAACAATGACTTTGAAAGGACAGGTTTTCCTGAGGAAGTTCTGGATGGTGAGTAATGTTCTCAACATTTTTTACCTGTTCTGGACAGAAGATGAGCAGAAAAAGGGACATAAAAAAAAAAAATAAAGGTCATTAAGTCTCAGGTTGTCTGTATATGCCTGAAAATATCTTCTTAGAAACACTGCTGAAGGACTCATTTTTAAACATAAAAAGATATATTAAATGTGTTTTATGCTCCACAATTTATCTCAAGTGTTGTAAAGTTACACAATTACAGTCCATTAGTTCAGTCAAGGTGTATATACATGTTACTAATATTGTGTGATCACACCTCTGCACTTCTAAAACACTTGAGCTCCTTTTTACTTCACCTCATTAACTCACCTTTGTCATACTTGGAATGTGGCCAGTCCCTGTGATCACAGCTTATTATTCCCTTATTTGCACAAAACTTTTGGATATCTCCCCTGCAGCCTGTGGTGTTGATAGTTTTTACTTGAAGCAACTCTGATGTAACATCAGGCAAGAGCAGCTGGAGTTTAGAGTTCTGGAAGTGCTCTGGGAAGGCTCATCCTGACCCTCTTGGCTGCACAAAGGACAGGCTGATGCAAGTTCTGTGCAAGACTTGGGAATTACCCCCCAGTTGTCTGGAACAGTATCAAGTGCTCTTGTGCTTGGAACTGTCTGGCTGCCAACTGCTCCTGCTGCTTGTTTAAAAGAAATCAGGAATTGCACTGCATTCAGATAGCTGAGCAATTTTCTTTTTTAATGAGGTGCAGAATAGAAAAAATGTTTTCTGTTCAGTTTCTCTTGTGTGTGGAGTCCTGATGCTGGAATATTTGTTGTGATTGTTGCAGATATAATCATATTAATAAAACCTGACAGTGTTCATCTGTACTGCAACCCTGTGAATTACAGTCATCTTTTACCCTATGTGGCACACTGGAGGAACTTGCATTTCCACTGTCTGACTGAAAATGAGGTAAGTGAAAAATGAATGCAGGCAAGATTTGCTAATGAACTTGTTAATGAACTGATCCTTAAAGTAAAACTTCAAAAAACATTCTTTCCAGAAGCCTTTTTCCTCTTTTCCCCTCAGCAGGGGAATGAAATGTGTGTACATCTGGGTATTAATAATTTGCTAAAATGTGCAAGGAGAATATTTTGTCAATACTTTTATTTGTTGGAGTGTGAAGACAAATTGCTCCTCCCTCCCACTAATTGCTGTTGTTTTGACCTGAGTCAGTGATCTTTTAAGGAGGAAAAAAATGTGGGTTGTGAAAAATGCCAAATGTGAATCAAGTATCACAGTCAATGCTGAGATTTCCCACATCAGCCTTGTTTGCTGTCCATGTTTGCATTGGCTGCCAATAGTTTTAGAATATTAGGAAAGATGGGCTTAGTAAGTCCTTTAAAATCAAGAAACTTCATTATGTATTTTCATTTTAACTATTAAATCTGTCTGTTAAGAACTATTAACCTCACTTCCACTACATCTCCTGACCGATGTGAGTTTCATCTTGAACTTGCAAGTTAAAGTATTATAGAGAAAGTCCATTTATTGTTGTGAAGTATTTTTAGAGGAGTAAACAATGAAAATACTCTTTGTCTGGGTATAGAATAAGGACCTTTTCATTCCAGTGCAGACTGGAAATGCTTCTTCCTACATTGAGTTCTGTGTAGTTCCTTTTCTAAGTTAGAATTGCACTGAATTCTGCTGGGAGTGGGTTTGGAGCCTGTGATGGTGAGTGAAGCCAGTGGAAAAATGAGTGGGAAAGTCAGGGAGAGAAATCTTTTGTTCCTTTGAGTTTCCAGCTTGGGAGTGATGGGGCTTGTAATAGACTGATTGTGTTTTTATGTGTCTGGTTGATAGCTTAGATCACAGAATTAGGAAATAGCTGAGATTACAGGGGACCTCTGGAGATCATCTTGTCCAGCCTCCTGCTTCAGTGGTGAGATCAGATCAGGTTACTCAAGGTTTTTTTGCAGCTGGGTGTTGAAATCATCCAAGGATGACAGAACCTCTGCTGGCTGCCTGCTGCATTTTCCCACTGTCCTCCTAGTGAAAAAGTGTTTCCTTTTGTCAAACCCAAACCTGATTGTTTTAAATCAAGACTTTTGTCATGACCACTGTGGAGAGCCTGACTTCACCACCTCAATAATATTTTGGTGGGCTTGAGGTACAGATATTGAGCAAGCCTGGATCTCTCCTGCTGGGACAAGTGCTGCATTCCACTGATTGTGGTGGCCCTCCACTGATCTTGCTCCAGTTTATAAATACCTTGTCCATGGATCCCAAAATTTGTTGTGGATACAATTCCAGGAGTGCAGCAGAGAGGGATAATTCTTGTTAGGATAGAACAGCTGAGCTCCAGGTTAAAACATGCCCCAGCAAAACCTAAAGCCTGGCTTCACAAGGCTTCTTTGTTGCCAAAATCCTTGCTGAAAGGGCAAATCTGATGCTGGGAGAACACGTGCACTTTGGAAACAGGAGCAGAGAAGTTCTTACCACACAGATGCCTGTGCAGCTGCAATCTCAGCTATTGAATTTTAAGCTTCATCTGCTTATGGGCTTTGATATGATTTATCGTGGTAAAGAACCTTAATCACACAGTGTTGCCTTGAAAAAAATGATGTAACTGGCAAGGTGAACCATGTGCCTTGTTCTTTGTGGAAATGGGGGGAAAGGTTTGGTTTTGGAAGCTGAAAATACAGTTCTACTTCATTGTAAGTGAGTGAGCTGAGCACTTCCAGTCACATTCCCCATGTATAAGAATTGCCAGTTTCCTAGATTACTGCTGAAAGACAAACAAAACCTTGCTGTGTCAGGCTTTAAGTGCATCCTGTTTACAGGAGAATTGCCTGCAGTGGCTTTTAAGTACTTACTTTAGTGATAGAAATAACTTCATAAAAATGAAACCAAGAAAGCACAAGAATTTTAGAAATAAATAAAGCAATGCTGTACTGGCTCTGGCAAAACACAGAGCTTCTACTTCCTTTTTTCCTTCCTACTTGCTTTAACTAGACCACAGGAATTTAAGAGAATATCCTAGTTTCTGGGGAAAAAAAAATCCCATATTACTAAAAAAAATGCCCATGTTCAAAGTGGCCAAATAGGATAAAATACAGAAATTTGCTGTAGCAAATTTTGGGGTGCCACAGTCGAACTGGCTGCAACAGCAGATTGTGAGCAAGCCTTTAGCACCCTGCCAAAACCCAAGTTCTTATTCCAATGACATTTTTAAGTCTTGAGAAACTGGCAGTTGTTTGGGGCTTGGCTTTGAGCTGCAGCTTTGATCTGGCTTCCTGGGATTGAAGGAGGAACACACCACAGAGGAGCTGGGGCTGCAGCTTAAATTCAGGCTTGGCTTAAAAGAACTTCTTCTCAAAATAAATGTGATGGGTGTACCCTGAAGCTCACAAAAAAGTTCATAATCATGTCATTTGCCTTGATAAGAAGCTCAGAGCACTGCACATAAAAATAAAATAAAATAACATAGGCAAAACACCTCTGCCTTCTGATCTTGCTCCAGAAAACAAGTGGCTCTTGAAGAAGCCAGCAGGGCTGGACCTGTTGGTTCCAGGCTTGCTGCTAAACTGCTTTTCAGGTCAAAGTCAGTGTGTCTGCAGGTCTGTGTTCTGTTATAAAAACGACTTTAGTGTGATTTGTCTCTTCAGTTTGGTTTTTATGCTTTTCTGAGTTAGGATGTTTGCTCTGCAGTCTGCTGAAGTCTTCAGACAGTGTCGCATGAAGGTTTCTCCTCTTCTTGCCTCCTCCTTTTCCTGCAGTTCACCTCTCCCTCAGACCAAAGCTGGTTCTCCTTGCCTAATCTGTGACCTGGGGCTTATTCTGACATTGATTTCCCTTGCTCAGTATTGTTTAGCTGGTAATACATTATCTTATTTTAATTTTTTTCCCTCAGTGGCACGTTTTCTGTGGTACATCAGTTGGTATCCTCACAATTACTTTTATCTTTCAAATCTGGATGTTGAAAGAGTTTAACTGAAACTTCAACTGACTGAAAGCTGAAAATAAAGTCTATAATTATGCCTTCATATGTCATGATTAAAAACCTTGCTTTGAAGTATGATTTTTTTTCAATTTTCCATTGGCTTGAGTACATCCCTCCCATGATGGGATTTCCAAAATCCCAAAGCACCTCCCAAAAATGGGTGCTTGAGCTTCAGGAGCCTGTAGGTGATATTTTAGTGCTTTACATGCTGCATCTTCTCTTTCCTACCAATCAAATTAGGGCATGCCTAATCCAATTTGATTTTAACTGGCTTCTTTCAGTATGAGGATGAAGAAGCTGCAGAGGAATTCAAGATTTCCAGCTTTGTGGACATGGTCAGGGATTGCAGCCGCATCGGGATCCCCTACAGCTGCCAAGGTAGGGAGGATGATGCTCAGAATTGTTGGTTTTTGGGCTTTTTTTGTCTTTTTTTTGGGGGGTTTGTTTTTTGTGAAGGTTGAGATTGAAGGTACTTGAGATGGTATTTCACATTCAAACTTAGATTCTTTAAAAATTGATTTTACAGTTTCATGAGTAGTGAATTCTGTAGTATTTTACTAACAAGGTATAAAATGGCTAACTCTTTCTTTACAAGGTCTTTTAAGGTTAAACTATCTAATTAAGAAATGACATTTAAATTATTTTAATTTTTAACTCAATAACTGATCTTTTGTGTCCTGCAACGTGGACTTTTTTGTCTAATTACAAAATATTACTTAAACTCACGAAGAAGAATGTGAGGAAGAACAATTAAAACTTCTTATATAGCTTTATATATATTACTATATTTTAAAACTTTAAATTTTCTACTTCATGATATCACACACTCTTATTCAAATTACACACTTGTAATCTTAGGGCTGTCAATCAATTTTGGAAGCCTTCTCTACAGCTTTAGGTTAAATATAATATTCTCTTGTGGGTCTGTGCTTTTCAAAACAGAAAGTTTAAAATTCTCAGCATCTAGAGTTCCAACACAGGGTGGAAGTGTTTTTGTACCCTGCAGCTTCAGGGAATGAAGATTTCCTTGCCTTAGGAGAGAAATAAGGATTACTAAGTCATTAGTTTCCTTTTAGCATCTTTTTTCTTAAGAGTTGAATTTCTTTCTGGGAACTGGAAGCCCTCAGAGTTCATTTGGGGAGCGAATGCCCCCAGCGTGAGGCAGAGAAATGATTTGCATTCAGAGCAGTGTCTTGAGCTGCTACAGAACTTCTCTGTTCCCATGGGAGCTGGAAGAACAATTAAAACTTCTTGTATAGCTTTATATATATTACTATATTTTAAAACTTTAAATTTTCTACTTCATGATATCACACACTCTTATTCAAATTACACACTTGTAATCTTAGTGCTATCAATCAATTTTGGAAGCCTTCTCTACAGCTTTAGGTTAAATATAATATTCTCTTGTGGGTCTGTGCTTTTCAAAACAGAAAGTTTAAAATTCTCAGCATCTAGAGTTCCAACACAGGGTGGAAGTGTTTTTGTACCCTGCAGCTTCAGGGAATGAAGATTTCCTTGCCTTAGGAGAGAAATAAGGATTACTAAGTCATTAGTTTCCTTTTAGCATCTTTTTTCTTAAGAGTTGAATTTCTTTCTGGGAACTGGAAGCCCTCAGAGTTCATTTGGGGAGCGAATGCCCCCAGCGTGAGGCAGAGAAATGATTTGCATTCAGAGCAGTGTCTTGAGCTGCTGCAGAACTTCTCTGTTCCCATGGGAGCTCCAGATAAATCCTTCTTTATGGAAGGGGAGAATAAACATTTCTTTATGCAAGTTTCCTTTTTTAGAACTGAAAAAAACTGCCCTGCATGGCTTCCTGTTGGGATCTGGAGCCTTGAGCCTCAGCAGTGTAATCTTGCATTCTTTTTTTATTCCTAATTCTTTATTGCTTCCCTTAGGGAAGGCTGATATGCTCAAAAGTCATTAATGGAAGTGCCAGGAGGAAATTTGAATCTCCCTCAACGTAAAATTCTGATTAAATGGGGATGATGGAAGAAATTCCTCCCTGGGAGGATGCTGAGCCCTGGCACAGGGTGCCCAGAGAAGCTGTGGCTGCCCCTGGATCCCTGGCAGTGCCCAAGGCCAGGCTGGACAGGGCTTGGAGCCACCTGGGACAGTGGAAGGTGTCCCTGCCCATGGCAGGGGGGGAATGGGATGAATTTTAAGGTCCTTTCCCTCCAAACCTTTCTGGGATTCTGTGATGTTGTGTTTCAGTATTTACTTAAGGCCAAGTATTTGATGAACTGGAGTAAGCAAAGCTCCTTGTTTATTATCTTGAATTTTAATTGTTAATCAGCATGTAATGAAGTTTGCAAGGAGATGTGGAATATCCTGAGAAAAAGGGACAAAATTTAGGGCATAGAGGAGCTTCTAAAATTGCCGTCTGCACGCAAGATTTTCGGTTGTACAAAAATGGGATTTTTGTACAACTGAATCTGTGAATCCCAAGGACTCAGAGAGAGCTGAAGTGCCAGGATTTGTGAGGGAATGTTGCTGTGCTTGCATTTCAGGCCACCTGCAGATATTTGACATGTTCATCGTGGAGAAGTGGCCGATCGTCCAGGCCTTCGCGCTCGAGGGGATCGGGGGCGACGGCTTCTTCACCATGAAATACGAAGTGAGTGCTTCCCTTGGTCATTCCCTTCCTGAAGCAGAACTTACTCAGGAAATTATTTTGTTTGGAAAGCACTTCTGGAGATGATCTAGTCCTGACTCACTGCTCAAGCGAGCTGCTCAGTTGGCTGGAGGTTTTTGGGATCTTGTAAAACTGTGGCAGGATGGAGAGCCTGTGGCGTGGCTGAGGTTCTGTTCTGGCTACACAGCACTTTTTCCTGCATAAACTATTATTTGAACATTCTCCCCAGGCCTCTGCTGTGATTTAGAACTTCCCTTTCCTCTTTCCTTTTTTCCTTTTTCCCTTTTTCCCTTTTTTCCCCTTTTTTCCCCTTTTCCCCTTCAGGAGGAGTAACCCTGGAATTGGCTCTTGGCTGTCTTAGAAAACTCATCTTGCCCTTTTGCCTGCACCAGCTCCTGCAGTTCTTTGCTATTAAATTGAAAAATATTGTGAAATGATTTGTTTGGAGGATGCAGAGAAAGCTTTGCTCAGAGTTCAGACCCTCACTGGTCAGGTCTTTTGTAACAGAGTGAAAATATTTGTCAAATGAGAGTGGAAATATTTGTGAAATCAGAGTTAAGGAGCACTGTTAGACAGGGCAGTGTTCCCCAATTCTGTCTCATCTTAAACCTGGATCTGTGGCCTTCTTTGTGGTGTTTTTCACAGAAATGTGTTGAAAATCTCTTTCAGTTAATGGATGTCAGTGCTGATTTATGGAAGACCTACAGCAAAATGGATCCTGTGTCCTTGGAGGATTTGCTTTTTGAGGTAATGCAGGTGAAATGTTCTCCCTCAGCTCCTGCTTGGTGTAACCACAGAAGAAAAGTTTGATTTGGTTTGGTTTTAATTAAGTTTATGGTTTTAATTTACAGGCTCTGCCTGCTGTTGCTTGCAGGGTCTCCTCCCATTCCTTAAATCTACCACAAACTCTGCAAAACAGTAAAATAACTTGTCTTGCTTTCCTTGAATTCATTGCTTTATCTGTAAATCTCCTAAAAACTTTCCTTCATGTCATTAAACCATGTACAAAATACATGAAGTTGCTGTGGTTTTGTGTGTTAATCCTCCTTTTGCAGCAAGGAGGGTTAAAAAATCCCCTTTAACACACAACCATTCTTCCAGGAGGAAAAAAAAAAAACATTTTTCAGATTTTTGTAGCTCCTTTAAGTGGGGAACAGTGACACTCAGTGGCTGCCCTGGTGCTTTGGGAAATACAAACAGAGGGGAGGGATTCTCACATTAATGCCATGCCCTGATCTCAGTGCTAGAGGAGAAAGCATTGTATAAATATTAGTATTTGTAATTATAATTTACAATTTATTAGTATTTATACTTTAATAGTAAATATATTTTATAATTCTTGGTATATATTAATTTTTAATCTGTTTCTAGCTTGATAGCAATTTAATATGTATAAAATTCAGTAGTAATTATCCTTTATTAATAAAATATTGGTAGTTCATACCGTTTTGGTTGTTCAATCAACTGCTGTAAGGAAAATTAAAATATCATAGAGTTTTTACAAGGCTCTCAGTCTAAGTAATCACTCTCTGATATTTCACTTCTCCTGTCTTTGTGGAAGTGAGATTAATGTTTGGGATTTGCCCTACACTCTGAGCAAACCTATTTATTATAATTTGAAGTTTTCAACCTGAAAGTTGTTGTTAAGTTGACTTAAATTTTCTGAAAACAATAAACTTAAACCACACACCCACAAAAAGACACCCTGAAATCCAGCAGAATGTCCTTATCTTCTAAAATATATTTATTTTCCTGTGCTTATTGTTTCATTGGGCAGTCTGTATTCCAGTGAAATGTCACTTTGCCTTCATTTCTCTTGTCTTGGGAAGTAATGTCAAATATTTTCCTTCTAGGATTTAATGATTTTTGAACACCAATGGACCAACTTTTTTGCTAATTTTGACACTGAAATTCCCTTCATTCTGGAACTCTCAGAATCTCAGGCTGGGGAGGTAGGCCTGCTTCAGCAATCCTCGAGTATCCATGCAGAAAAAATAATTATTCAGCATTAACATGGGTTTTTTTTTCCCCTATCCCATCTCACTTTTCATGTTTGAGGGGTAAAAACACATAGTTTGGATTTTTTTTAAAGTCACCACCCACCTTAAAAATCCGTGGTATGATGGCTTAGGACTGCAGGGGTAATTCAGTCAAGTGTTTGCTCACTGATAATTCAATTTATATCTGCACAGGAGATATTTGTAGGTAGATTAACTTGCATTTGGATGGAATCTGCTATGTGCAGGGCTTAACAAGTTGAATTTGCACATCTCAAACCTCAAACAAAACTCAGGGTAGCACAGAGCATGGGAGAAAACAGCCCAGCATTTCTGGGGGTGCTGTTGCTTTTTTGATTCATTTTGTTGCTTTTTTGATTAATTTTGGTGATTTTTTGATTAATTTTGTTGCTTTTTTGATTCATTTTGTTGCTCTTTTGATTAATTTTGTTGCTTTTTTGATGGATTCATTTTGTTGCTTTTTTGATTAATTTTGTTGCTTTTTTGATGCATTTTGTTGCTTTCTCTGGGATGGTTGAAGGGGTTTGGAACTAAATGGGCTTTAAGGTCCCTCCCAACCTAAATCATTCAGTGATTTAATGATATGAGAGACTTAGTGATGTTTGGGTTTGTTTGTGGAGGTTGGAAGTATTTTCTGAGGGTTCAGGAGTTTTCTCTGAGAAGGATAATTGAGGTTTAATTAATGAGAGGATATTTCACACTTCTGTCCACGTACTTCTTAATAATTTTTGTTTTCAACTCCTCACAGCCCTTCAGAAGTTATTTCAGCCATGGTATGATCTCAAGCCATATAACAGATAACAGGTAATTATTACTCATTATTATTATTATTATTATTATTACTCATTACTCCCTCTGGTGTCACTACTACCTCAATATTTTATTTCCATATCCCTGATGCCATAATATTAAAAATTCTTTTTGGTATCACCTCAGTAGATCAAATCTCATATTTAAAAAAGCCTGCACAAAGTTCTTTCATGTCCTGGGAGGATAAGCTGAATTTTGCCAGGGTTTAATGCTGTAGTTCTTACCTGTACCATGAAATTTTGTGCATTGTGATCAGTTCCTTCCTTGTTCCATCCCTGGAAAAGGTTGGATGTGGCTTGGAACAACGTGGGCTAGTGGAAGGTGTCCCTGCCCATGGCAGGGGTTGGACTGAGATGATGTAAGGTTCCTTCCAACCCAAACCATCCTGTGATTCTGTGAGAAAGTTTTAACCAAAAGCTGTTGTTTAGCTGAAGGTTCTGTTGCAAAATCCACCTTCTGCTGCTGTGAGCTAATCAAGGTTTGTTTAGATAATTCAATCATTCTGCACATTCTCCTCTGTTTGGAGTAAACAGGTGGAGTTCAATGCCCTTTATTGCTGGCAGCATCCTCTGGTGTTTGCATTGCATTAAAAAAAAGAAAATCCTTGACCTCTCCAGCTGAGTCTTGGGCCCAAAGCCAGAACTAAATCCAAAATAGTTTTGTTTGTTTTCAACACAGTCATTTCAGGGCTTTTCGAGATGGTGAATTTTAAACTAAGCAGATTTTCAAGGCAGTTTAAGATAAAAGAATCTTCTAAGAGCAGTGGGAACAACCTTGAGATAAGTCCATTGTATTTGAAAGAAATTATCATCTTTTTTAAAGCAAGTAGATTTTTTCTTTTGAACTTGCTCATTTCACTGTGAAGCTTTTTGCAGCTTTAGTAATTTTTTATTATTATAATGAGAAATTCAGCAGTTGAAAGCTTTGATTTCATTTGTTGGTTGTAAACTTCCTGCAAGTATTTTGGTGATGATTCCCTGTCTCCTCCTCAGCCCGAGCCGCCAGCCCTTTGTCCTGTTTGGCAGCCACTCCACAAAGGAAAACTTGAACACTGGGAACTTTAATTTTCCATCTGAAGGACATCTGGTCCGAAACACTGGCCTTGGTGGAAGCACTGCCAAGCATATGGTAAGGCTTTGGAGAAGTTATCTGAGATTTTGGGGTATATTCTCTTTTTCTTTGTATATTTTCTGTGCTTGTCTTTCATGAGTTAAATGCCTAATTCTTCTTAACATAAAGCACCTTAGCAATCCATCAGGTTAAGGAACAAATGTGATTTTTCTTGCTCTTTCCAAGTGGAGCCATACTGGATTCTTAATCAGGGACTGCTGAATGAGTTAAAATAATTTATTCTCTGGAAAAAGAAAACTTTTGCTGTAAGTGAGTGGTGGAGTGGGAAATGCTGTTTGTGTCCTGACCACAAAGTGAAAACCTTCTGTGATACACTTAACTGTTACACACAGGTTCTATTTTAATCACATTTGTTTAGCCATTTCACAAAAAGCCACGTTTTTTTTTCATAACACCTTTGTGAATAAACCTGTATCCAAATTCCAGTGTGTACTTCAACAACTCTTGACAAAACTCTGAAAAACCTTTCATAAAATTCCAGGACTGTTCTGATGAAGTTGCAAAGCTTAACTTGTTTCCATTTCCCAGTAAAAGCTGGGTAGTTAAACATGATTAACTTGTTTCCATTTCCCAGTAAAAGCTGGGTAGTTAAACATGATTAACTTGTTTCCATTTCCCAGTAAAAGCTGGGTAGTTAAACGTGATGAACTTGTTTCCATGTCCAAGTAAAAGCTGGGTAGTTAAACGTGATGAACTTGTTTCCTTTTCCCAGTAAAAGCTGAGATGTTAAACATGATGAACCTGTTTCCTTTTCCAAGTGAAAGTTGGGATGTTAAATATGATGAACTTGTTTCCTTTTCCCAGTAAAAGCTGAGATGTTAAACATGATGAACCTGTTTCCTTTTCCAAGTGAAAGTTGGGATGTTAAATATGATTAACTTGTTTCCATTTCCCAGTAAAGTTGGGATGTTAAACATGATTCACCTGTTTCCATTTCCCAGTAAAAGCTGGGATGTTAAACATGTGCTGAGGTCCGTCTGTGGCGCAGGGGCCGTGCCTGGGCAGGCCACCCCAGGGATTTGGGATCCTCTGGCTGGAGGGCCTGGGTGGCTCCAGAAGGCAACTTGGCAGCGAAGGAGGAGAGAGGTAGAGTGTGGAGAGAGCTCCCTGCTGCCTCCAGGGGCTCTGGGAGTGGTGTGAGCCCTGAGCAGGTGGATGTGGCCATGCTGGAGTGAGAGCATGAGTGAGGCCATGAGTTGATGAGATTGTCAGCATTTCATGTGCAGCTGCCTCAGGGATGGATGGATGTGGGGCTTCTGGGCACAAATCACGTGTGCAGAGCCTGAGAAAAGAGTGGTTTTGCATCTTGGTGAAATCTCATCCTCCATTTGCTGCTTTTAACGCTATTTCTGTGAAAACACTTTCAATTCTGTCTTTCCTTCCCTTGTTAACAATAAGATGCCATTTGATACCTTTGAAAATGCAAGTACCGTGTTATTGTGATGTACTTGCTCCATCTGTTGTCCTCAGATTCTGATGCTGTTCTTAAAAAAGGTGGTTTATTTACAGGTACAGGTGATACTGTTTTAATAGGGTGTCATGAAAATAGTAAATAAGACCAAGTGCCAGCGTAGTTATGGGAACCTGACACACTTTCCTCTTCATGAAAAGAGCAGTTGACATAGGAAATTGAAAACACAAGTCAGAGCTCATCTCCTTTCCAAAGTCTTTCAACCATTCAGGTCAAGTCAAAAGTGAAATAGACCTTTGAAAACGTAAGTTGCTTTTTCACAATCCAGTTCTGTGTTGTAAACTTCTGTAGTCTGTCAGTGCTTAGAAGACTTAAGGGAAACGTAGTTAATTGTTAATTATTGCACCAATTTGCTTTACTGATGTCTTTTGTATCTCATTAATACTGACTGCTAGGTAGTGCAGTGTGTATCTCCAAAGGGACCTCTGGCTTGTTCAAGGACCTATTTTTTTGGAGCAACTCACATTCCTTTCCTGGGTAAGTGCATTAAATACACCAAGGCAGTTATTGCCTCTGATTCCATGAAAATTTGTAGCAATTAAAGGCTTTCCTTCCTTTTTAAGTGGTAGATTCTGTAGCCAGTGCATGAAATCATTGCAGATTTTGTGGGTAAAATCTGTCAGATCTGAGTTTTGAACATGAAATCTGTCAGATCTCAGTGTGCAGACCCTTTTAAAGTATTAAACAAATATTGAAGTCCATGTTCTGTATGGATTTATAGAAAACAGTCTCCAAAATATAGTAATTCAAACTGAGAGTTGTCAAGTAACTGAGGATTTTTATAAGGATGAAAAAAAATTATTTCACTTCTATCTTTTATCCTCAGTATAATGAGTTACAGTAGCTGTATTGATAAAAAACAAGCCATCTAAAATTTTTAAAAACCATTTTCTTGTATAGTTTCAATGGAAGAGTCATGGATGAAGTCAGTCCTTAGGGTTGTCTTGAAATATATATATATGAATAATATATAATAATAAAGATTTAATATTTTATATTATATAAAATATATATTATATGAATTTTATATAGATATATATATATATTTTATATATATGCTGGGCTCAGAAAAGCTGAAGAGAGGATGGCTGGAGAATTGGAATTACAGCCTGTGTTTGCCCTAGTAGCATAAAATACTGGATAAATTCCATGTAAAATGTGCAGCAGAAATGTTCTCAGAGCGCTTAAACCAAACCTTTTATTATTATTTTTTTAATTTTATTATTTTTGTTTTAATACAGGAAATGACAATGAGATGCACAAGCAAGCTGAGCAAGTGTAAGCTGCCAATTTTTTTATATTATTCCTTAACTCTTCTCTCTTTCTACCTCGTGGCAGTAGGTGAAACCTGCTTTTAGTGGCTGTTGGCATTTGCAGGGACATTTTTATTCAGAACAATGTGCATGGGACAGGATTGCAAAGGCAAAATGCTCGTGGGGAGTTTCAGTGGGTACATGAGTTGTTAGGAAAGGAAATATTAATAAATTTTGCTCAAATTGTAGTAAAAAAATAATCTTAACACTTACTTGAATAATTTTGAAAGATACTTCATGTGAATCAGGGGGAAGAAGTCTCCCACACTGTAGCATCTTCCACAGATGGAAGAAAAAGTAATTTTTGGACCAGTTTCATTAAGAATGTTTAAGATTTCTGATGCTCAGTGAAAATGCCAACAGGGAACACTCAAACTTGTGAAGAAATTCACTGTGTTCAAGTTAAATCCAACTTAATCTTTCCTAAAATTTGGGAAGCTGCAAAGCTTCTGCATATTTTAACCTTCTCAAAATCCCATTTATTTATCCATGTTGATTCCACTTCCTGTGCATGTTGTAGAACCCTGTCCAGCTTGGAGAACACAGTAGAAAATCTTTGCTCTCTCTCTCCATAAACCAGACTTTTCCTTAGAGATTTTTGTCCTCCTTATTAGTTGGGATCATTTTAGGAGCCTGTTTTTGCTTCTGCAAAGCTGCATGACCTGGTAGCAAGATACTGAAAATATTAAAGATGTGTCAGTACTGTCACACTAAATACTGTTGACTCTTGGTAATTGTGAGACATAAAAATGGATTTACTGCACTGAGCAGCAGATTTTCCTTTTTTTAAAGAAAACTGAACTCCAACAGGTTGCATTTATGTACTGCTAAAATATTTTTTGTTCTCCTTCAAAAATCCTTTGTACTGAATGCATTTTAATCAAGATGAGTAGAGAAGCTCTGAACAAAGCAGGGGTTGATAAAGGCAGTAATGTAAAAATAATATCTTTTTCTTGGAAGCATCCCTGTATTGGTTCAAATAACCTAATTTCAATAACAGTAGTATAATTGGCTTTTTTTGACAAACTCATGATTTTCAGCTCAGTTTGCAATTTTGTCCTGCTTCTTACAGTTGCCAATATTTTATAAAAAGTGAAATAAAAAGTATTTTCTGAACACTATTCATTCCAAATTTGGCTGTACTGATTGCCTGGAGTGCATAAACCAACTCTGTAAATTGGATGACAAACTGGGATAAAGTTTTTGGTTTTATTTTTATTTTAAGAAAATATTTCAAAAGCAACACAAAAGAAATCCTGTGCTGCTTTTTATTTATTTTTTTTCACTGCTAGCTTTAAAATGTTAAAATGGGAAGAAGAATAAGACAAAGGACACCTCACTGAGGTGTTTTCTTACAAATATATCTGTAAATTTGAGGGAAAACAGGAATGGTTACAAAGCCTGGAAGAATTACAATATAAAAGAATTACATTGCTTTACTGGGTGCAGTGAAATCATGCTAAGTTCATATGAAAGCACAGGAAATGACAATCCAGAAACCTGAAAAAATACTGAGAAAGCTGAATTTTAAAATCACTTGCTGCTGTTGAGGATGATCCAAGACAAGCTTTGGTGCATTTTGGGGTTCCTCCATGTTTGGGATCTTTGGATGCTTTTTTTCCATCCTTCAGGAATGCTTTGCATTTGCCTTAAATGCTGTATCCTTCTCTTTCCTCCCCCCTCTTCCCTCCCTCAATATTGGCAGTGGAGTGATGAGAAAACTTAACAATTAGGGAGTAATTTTATTGTTCTGCTCATCTTTTGGTTGTAATTTAGCAGGAAAACAGGGGCTGATGTTCCTTGGTTGGGCACACGTGGGTTTTTCCCCCAGTGGTTCTGGAGCTGTAAATGTGTCAATAGCTGAAAGTCACTCCTGGCTTCACCTGACTTTGGTTTATTTCTGTACCATTTTTTCAGTCTCCTTTTAAGAAGGGAATTGGACTAAGCTGGGATGGAGATTTCATGGAATTGTGGAATGGTTTGGGTCGGAAGAGATCTTTAAAGATCATCTCATTCTAATATTCTGCCAGGAGAGGGAGGTACTGCAGGGACACCTTCCACTGTCCTGTGTGGCTCCAAGCCCTTGGACACTTCCAGGGGTCCAGGGGCAGCCAGAGCTTCTCTGGGAATTCCATCCCATGGCCTCCCCACCCTCTCAGGGAACAATTCCCTGCCAGGATCCCATCTGTCCCTTCCCCTGTCAATGTGAAGCCATTCCCTCTGTCACTCCAGGCCCTGCATTTAGGATGTGATTCCTAAACCCACCTGCAGCAAAAAGCAGCAGTAAAACAGATTTTTTTATTCCTGATTAGCAAAAGCACCAGATACATTTATATCAAGAGTTATTTCCCCAAAATATCCTGTAATTTGAGCAATTTCCTCGCTCTAATTTAATTTTCTTAAACAGAAAGCTTAACTATAAAACTACTTCACTTATTCCAAAAAGAACCCCTTCCTTATTATTAAGGGAGTTGTGCAATGAGAGGAAAAACTGCTCCTTTAAAGAGAGGAGGAAGAAAACTCTGCCTGTCCAGTAAATGTTGTGTTTGTATTTCTCTTCAGTACGCTGTTGTCGCAAATATATTCTGCTGTTGTAGAGGCTGTGCTTGCTGGCATTGAGTGCTATGCTAAAACTTCCACTGAATCCAAGGTAAATGAAGTTGCTAAATGAAATTTAATTGTTCTCTCTCTCTGTAATTGTTGATTTGGATTGCTTGCAGTGTGAGATTTACGTGCAAACCAAAAAGAAAACCAAAAGAATTCCCGTTTTTGGTACAATGGAATGACACAAGGTTCATACCCTGGCCTCCAAGCAGGCTCTGAATTCTGTTTAAAAAAAATAAAATAAAAGAGATTTCAGAGTGTGTCTAATTTTACCCATCTCCAGTTGGTTTTCCATCTTCTCATGAATTTTCCTGACCTCATAGTAAGGCAGATGAGATCTGTGAAAGGACAAATTTTAGCCTGGTGCATCAGTGTGTTACTGTTCAGTGTCTCTTGTTGGTCTTAGGGTGCTCCTGGAGCTGCTGGGATTTGGAAGGATGGGAAAGGATGTTTTATTTTTTATTTCCTTTTTTCAGGCAAAGGAGGTGGCAGAGCAGGTGCTGCTGTCTGTGTTAGACACCCTTGGCTTAGCACAGCTGAAATCTGCTTTACGGTGTGTATTTCCAGTGTTGCTCATTTGGCTTCTTTGGGGGAAAAAATATCAATTATAAACTGCAAAATATTAATTTTAAACTGAGCTTGCCTAACTGCCAGATTTCAAGACTTCATAATGCATTCAGCCTTTAAAAATCATTATAATGATTCCATTTTCCAGTTTTCTTAATCACTTCTTTAGCTTTAAGTCTACTCCTGCTTATTTTTCTCCATTTAAAAATCTAAACCACACATTTCACCTGTACAATTTCTATCCCACAGCTCCAAAATTGCTTTTCAAATCCAGGCTGTGAACAACCATGGCAGGTTTGTATCACTATCTTAGAACTTTTTGTTACTAATTAGTGCTTTACATACACCAAGAAATAAATTTTTCTCCTCTTGGAACTCCTGCAAAAACCCTTGTGTTTGATTATTTCACACAAGGTGCTTTTGTGTATGAAGTAGTTCAGTGATTTCATATCTGTAATTCTGTGGAATCTTAAAAACATTAAAAGGAATAAAAAGCAGTTGGGCAGACTAATTTTTATTAACTGTTAATGAGTAGAAGCAGCATGAGCTCATTAAGAGTTTCCTTTTAAAAATGCTTTTAAATTAGTTGATATCACAAGCTTGTGCTTATTTAATCCCCACACTAATTGATTGAAATGACCTGCACAAATAAGTGTTTATATTAAAATAAAACAGCTTTTTTTTGGCTGCTGTGGAGTCACAGAAAGATGATGTAATTAAAAAAATGTAATTATCATTGTTGTTCTAGAATTACTCCATTAGATAACGAGGACAGCCTGAGTTTGATCAAAACGGTAAGAAATAATAATATTTATTTATTTATTTAGAAAATAGAGCTCAAGTGTCTATTTTTCTGGGGCACACTGAGATTTTTATGTGAATACAAGTGTAAGAGGAGACATGAGAGAGATTTCAGATGCTGCAACAGATTTAACAAGAAGTCAGAATTCAGAATAAAACATCAACACACATTTATGATCTCAGGCTTTAACCACAATATAGAAATAGTGGTTTAGGATGTTTGAAAAATACAAATTTTGCTTTTTCAATTGAAATATTTCAAGTTCTGCTTTCTCTTCCCTCCAACTGCTGGATGGCTGCAGGCATCCATGATGGTGTTTGACATTCCAGACCTGCTCACAGGCAGAGGATGCTTGGGATCTGTTGTGTTTTCAGAGTCCTTCCTGACATCACAGATACAGGTCAAAGAAAAAGGTGAGCGCATTAAATTCTGAAATTCAACACCATTCTTGTCCTTCTGTTGGCTTTGCTGTCATGGGAGAGCCAAAGGAGTTCCAGTGGATGTTTTTGCTCTTACCCTGATGGGTTTGGAACACTAAGAGCAAAGGAAGAAGCCAAGGAAAGATCAGAATAAATCGGGATTTCTTTGGAGCTCTGTAGCACAGGAGGACTGGGAGTTACTCTGCTGTGAAAACTTCATTTAAACCCTCAGCAATCCTTAAAATAATAAGATTTTCATATTTACTAAAGCAATTTCAGGTCTTAACAGTAACATACTGGGCATTCTGAAGTATGAGGGTGGTATAAGTTTAGTGGTCATGGTGATATTAGGTCAGAGGTTGGATTTGGTGATCTTGAAGGTCTTTTCCAACCTTAATAATTCCCTGATTGCACTGCTTTGCTTCCCGTGGCTTCCCTGCAGATGGCAGCATCCATCCAGACTCCAGGCACGTTATCCTGACTGCAGCTATCCCAAGATTTGCTTCCTGGCTGGTGAGTGAGAGCACAGAGCCTCAGTTCAGCTCATCCACAGGGCAAAACTCCATCTGGGAGTGGGCTGGGCTGAGGGAAAATCTGGAACCTGAGCATTGAAACACAATATTGTAATATTAACGTGCCCTGGTTTTTTAGATTTGGACAATAAGTGAAAAATTAAGTGGAAGCAAGCTGATGGTTCCATGCATAGCAGGAGTTTTAAATTATTATTATCATTTTCGTTTTCGTTTTCATTTTCATCTCATCAGGTTTTTCTCTTTTTGAAGATCTGGTTGTTTTTGAAGTGCACAGTGTGGCTTTTGAAAACTCTGTTTATTGTGGGGCATTTTAGATCAGCCCAAAAGAAAGCAAAGTCTGATTCAAGACTTCTGATGCACTACACTGTGTGAGAGATAGAATTCCAAAGAATGTGACAAAGCTGGGCAGTGCCCTTTGGCAATGCATGCTTGAACAGTAATAAAAGATAAAACTGCATACTTTCTATCTATATAATATTTTAATCTATAAAACAATTTAATGGGGAGAATGTGGTGCAAAAAATAATTGTGGTCCCATGGTAACACAGTATTAAGAGCACAAAATTGTTTTTAAAACTCTGTGGGCTCAGGGCTTTCTCTGTCTGTGGTACCTGAGGTTCTTGTTGGCCTCAAAACTTATTTAATGCTTTTTATTTAATGTTAGACTTGCTTTATTTATATAAATCACAATTCAAATGGAAGCTGTTTCTGGCTGCAGGTTGAAGACAGTGATGTGAAACTATCTGAAAAGGCACAGCAAGTATTGAAGGTAAAATGAAATATTTTTGTTAAACTAAAGAAGTTACTTTGATGAACCAGTGTTTGAAAAACCTGAGCTACTACCAGACTCTCTTTTTATTATGTGTGTTACTTCTCTTCTCCAAGACTTGCCTGTTCTGCCCTGCCTTTTTCAAACTTTGACATACAAAATAATATATTGTGTGTAAAAGTTTGAGGGTTTCTTTATTTCAAAGAATCATAAAACCCAAGAGCAAAAAGAGTCCTAATAAAACTATGATTTCATGGAAGTCTCACTAAACATTACTCATGGAGCTCATGTGTCTCCAAAAGCCCCTAAAACTCGATGCAACTTTCTTTTAACTTAATTAGCATGCTAATGTCTAAAGGAAAACATTCTAAGCACTAGGAAAAAAAAAAGAGTTTGGAATCTAGAAACATCTTAAATCACATGAGTTTCACATTTGTGGTGCAATTTGTGGTTCCCAGGAATGTTCATTATAAATAGATTTATTTTCATGTAATATACTTTTAGCTCAGTAGATGGACAAACTAAAAACAAAAAGCTCAGCCTTGTGGTTGTGACAATAACTTGTAACTTCATAGCTGCTGGCAAAACCAAAATGGGGGGAAGGCTTTTAAAAATTATCCTCTTGCCTTGCTCTCTTTCCCTGCTCCTTCTCTATCCATGCAGGATAAAACTCTTTTCAAAGTTCTTGACTGATGCTGTTTGAAAATAAAATATTTTCTCTTGGAGCAAAATCAGGAGAAAATGTTCCTGCTTGGATTGGTCCTTGATGCAGTCTGTGATGTTGCTGTTTGTTTTTTTTCTGTTTAGGAGGACAAATCTTTCCTGGGCACTTTACTCACTGGGGGTGATGGAGTTTATATCTGTTCCAGCAACCCACAGGCCATGCCTGCAGAAGGTGAGATGTGGTTGGGTTTTTTTTTTTTGGTTTTTGGCTTGTTTTTTCTTGTTTTTGTGGTTTTTGTTTTGTTTTTAAACATGAGAGAGAGGTTCTGGGATTCACACTCTGGTGAGCCAAACTGTGCCATCATCTTAAACTTCCAACTTCAACTTAAACACAACTCTCTTGTGTTTAATTCCATGTCTGGTTTTTTGTCCCCAAGCTCTGCCTGAGTGTCCTGGAAGGAGAATTCCTGCAGAGCTTTGGAGACCTGGCAGGTGGGAGGAGGCTTTTCCCCACAGCTCACCTTCCCAACATGCACAGCCTTCCTTGACAGATGAGCTGCCAGATGTTTTCTGCCTTTTCTGTGTCTTACAAACATGAGGTTGGAAGGATTGGCCACTGCAGAAGTGCTGTGGGCTCCCAGCTCATGAGAAGGCAAATATTCCTCTCAAAGCCTCCTCCTGGAGCTGACATGTTCCAGGTTTCTGCCACTGTCATTTTCTTTAAGGAATTCAGAGTTTGTCAGCTCAGCTGCTCACTGTGGCACAGAAAAATGCCTGATTTTGGTCCTTCTCAGATCCATTCCAGTTACAGCTTTCTGACACAAGATCCCTGGCAACACCCTTGGATTATTCCTCTTTTTTTGGTGCCTTTTCCTTCAAGAACTTAAACAACATGAATATCCCAGGAATAAGATTGAAAACAATTTGATAGGACTGTTAGATTTCCCTCCCTCCTTGTGCCTTGAATTAATAGATTCTTTTTAAGGCACAAAACTTTTCTAGTCCATATATGTATATATATCTTTTATCCAGAGAAGGTGTTATTGTCACAGTTGTGATGTGCAGCAGGAGGTGCTCAATATCTGACATTAAGTGCTTGGTGCTGACAGTCTTTAGAGGAGAACCTTCAGCTTTATTGTCTTTGCCCTGGAGTGTGGAGGATAAATAATGATGTGCAAGGCAATTAAACAGCAACCCTCACATAAGGGCAGCTGCTTTGGCTCTAATTGATCAGATTTCAAAGAGAAGAGGTTAATGCAGAGTGTGATGTTCAGCTGTTTTGCAATGCAGTGCTGTGGGCACTTGTTCACTCAGTAAATAACTAGAGAACTCTGGATTTATTTTTTTTTTTGGCTTTGTTAAAACTGGCTCTGTGTGCCCCCAAGGAGCAATTAACTTTTTTCCTTTTTTAATTTTTTTTTTTTTATTTTTTAATTTTTAATTTATTTTTTTTTTAATTTGTGCAGTTCAGTGTTTTACCAACTCTTGAGCTGGAGAGTTGGGTGCTATAAATAAAGAACATTATGAAACACTGCAAGGAACATGAAATTTTTTTAGGTGCCATGTGACAGTGAAGCTGATTTTGTTCCTCAGTTTGTTGTGCTCAAATTTGGGCTCTGCTGAGGTTGCAGCCCTGTAGTCTGGCACTATGAGGTGCAAAAGGTGCATAAAATTCATGGAATAGTTTGAGCTGGAAAGGACCTTAAGGAACATTTAGACCCAACCTCTTGCCATGGGCAGGGACACTTTCCACTAGCCCAGGTTGCTCCAAAAATTTTAATTATTAAATTAAATTTTAATTTAAAAGGCAACTTTAATTTTTTTAAGTTTAATTCAAACTTAGTGTTTAAATTTTCCACTTAAACATTTTTGCACTTCAGTTTGTTACAATATTTAAATTTTCAATTGTTTTGGATGCAGTCTTTTCTTAAGTTCTTGTATTGTCAATTTTGTAGTTCTGGAAGTTTGAAATTTGGCAGGATGGGATTTGTTTGCTTTTAATTAAAAAAAAAATACCTCAGAATATTTATGGTAAGTTCTATGGAGTCAGATGAACTCAGATGCAATCATAGTCATGATTCCTGCCCTTGGTAATGAGATCCAGTAAAGACTGAATGGTTGTAAATATTATCCCAAATAAATATTTTTATTTAATAAAAACAAAATAAATATCAAATTTACTGCTTGCTAAATACAACAGAATCCTGCAGGAACATAGATTTCTTCCTCAGGAAGACAAGACAGTCACCATGAGAAGCTGAAGTGTTGCTTTATACCCCATACAGTTCTTTTTCCTTCAAATTCTAGGCAAACTGCATTTCTTTTCTGATGGAATTCTGTTCTGTGATCCCCACCACGGCAGCATTTCCATTTCCAAGAGCCACATGAGTTCCATTTCTCTCTATGATGGGGTGAGTATTTTGTAATTTCTCCTGTCATAAAGTTTCCATCAATTTTTAGCAATGATTCTGTTGGGTCCTGGTACAAAGTTTAGCTTTAAGTGTCTGTTCAGCTGTAATAACTGATGCAAATCACTGCAGTTTTGGTGCTGATTAACTAAAATTAGTGAATAAGGAGGAGAGAATTTTGTTTTGGAGTTAGCCATGTGCTGTTAACAGTGTGAAAACTGCTTTTTGTTAAAAAGAAAAATTACAGAACACAACATTCATCAAACATCTCACAGTGTGAAGGGATGGACAGAGAAGAGTTCAGAGGGTGTTTTGGAGGGTGAAACGTTGCCTTTTATTAAAATATATTTGAATCTGTCACTTGGCCATCAGGGCAGCGTTCAGGCTCAGTGGCAATTGAGAGGTTAATGATGGCAACACAGCTCTGTCCACCTTGAGGCAGAAACACTGGGTTAACCATCACTTCTTCAGGGTGGAAAAGAGATTATTTGTGTTGGTTACTGTTTCCTAAACACTGGGGAAGAAAAAAAAATCAAGTTTCCTTTAGTTTCCCTTTTGTTCAGGTACAGTATTCCCCATTTATTCAGCAGCATTGTGCTGGGTGATTTCATCCCACAATACAGGAAACCAGTAAAATACAATAAAAATGTGATTCAATTGAGATGAAAACACAGCAGCTCAGAGAGTCTTACCTTAGCTGCCTTTTCTTAGACATCATATTGATTGCCCCTCGTTTAAGAAGCTATTTTAACACTGACCTTCCTGTGATTGTTTGAGTCAAGACACTCACTTTCATAAAAGTTGCTATTTCTGGGACCTGGCCATCGTTCTTGAAATGATGCCAGGTTTTTGTGTGAAGCTAAGCCTTGACAGGGAGTGTATTATTGTTCTACTGACTTGGCAGAATATGAGGGTGGAGGGTTTTGAAACTGTTAAGAAGTGACAGGAGAAGCAGCAGAATCGTTGGTTGCTCTTTCCAAAAGTTCTTGCAGCAATACTGATGGAAAAGGAGAATTTAATGTTCTGATTAAAATAAAAGATACCAAACTTTGAAGTGATGCAAAATGCAGGTTTTTTAGCAGCTTTAGCATGATGCCTGTGAGATATTCTTCTTTTTAACTTGAAAATATCTGTAATTCTGCTCCTGCACGTGCTGCAGACTCCTGTGCTGTGAGGAGCTGGGCACTGAGCTGCCCCTGAGCTCCTGAAATCCCTGGGACTCATGCATGGAGGGCAGGGGAGATTCTGGCCATTCATCAAGGGAACAAATATTACCCAGCAATATTTAGATTTCACAACGACATTAACATCTTGTAAAACTTGGAGCTGGCTCCTTTCAACCTCGTGTCCGTGGGGATTATTGCTGCTGCTGCTTTTCAGCTTTTTTCAATTTGTGGAGCCCAAAATGTTTTCCAGGAGCAGATTTTGTTGGACATTTCTCGTGCTGACAGCAGCGTGGATGAGTTGGCCTTGGAGTCACTTCTCAGGAAATCTCTAAACCATCCTGCAGAATCCAGGATCTGTGGATTCTGTTTCAAAAGCCATTTTCTGTTAAAAGAAATTGTTCTCTTTGAGGAGAATATTTTTGTATGTTCTTCAGTGACCTCAGTGACTTCGAGAGGATTATTTTTATGATTAATCCCTCAGTCAGCAAAGCAGAGAAATTCTGTTTGCAAATGTCTCTGAGCTGATACCAATTCTTATGTAACAGTTCCCCAACTTGAGCTTTTTCTTCTCAGCAATGAGTACAGTGAGTTCTTTGCCCATTTCTATTGAAAGTGAAGGGGATGCCACTAAAATTCTGATTTGATCCCCACATAATTGAATTCCCATTTCCCAGAAATACTTCATGCTTCTAAATTGTTCTGATTTTCTAAAACTTTGATGTGAAAAGGACTTGAGTATAAAACACTTCAGCATCATGCAGATTTGTATATAAAATCCTGTCCTGGATTCCACAGTCATGGAATGGTTTGGGTTGGAAGGGACCCTAAAAACCATCTTGTTCCACCCCCTGCCTTGGAGCTCCTTCCACTTTTCCAGGTTGCTCCAAGCCTCATCCAGCCTGGCCTTGAGCACTTCCAGGGATGGGACATCTCCCACCACTCTGAAAAAAAAAAAAAAAAGCTCCAAAACAAACTAAAAAATACCCCAAGAAAAACAAGTCAGTGTTTTCTCAGAACAGAAATGGAACCTGAGTTCTGTGCTTCTGAGGGAAACACAACCTGAGGGCTTCAGCCTCCCTTGTCACCTTTTTAGGTGGCATTGAATTCATTTTTCATCTGCTGTCTGTGTTGGAGATGTGGGTGTAGATAAAAAGTTTGTTGTTTGAAGCAGTAGCAGAGGAAGGGTCTAGATTTTGGTGTAGACAAGAGAAGATATTAAAATTTAAGCTTTGTTTCCAAAACAAAAGTTTAGTGCTTCACTCAGACTCAGATGCTTTGTTTTGAGCTTGTGATATCTCCAGTAGCTGCAGAGTGGAAACTTAGGGGTGCTCCACCCCTGCTGCTCCATCCCTGTGCCATGCAAAGTAGAAAATATTAATTTTAACTTGTCCTGTTTCTTTCTTTTCCAGGATTCCAACAGCGTTGTTGCTGCTCTCTTTATAGACTTCAAAAGTTCCCTGCTTCCTCATCTCCCCATTGAATTCCACACCCAGAACAACTTTCTGATGATTGCACTTTTCCCCAAAAGAAAGATTTATAAAGCTTTTTATTCACAGGTAAAGTGGAAAAAGTTTGGTTGGGGTGGGGGAGAAACCACATAATTGCTCTGTGTGTTTAAGATGTGTGAGAAACTCAAATTTCTGTATGAATTTCCAGTGATGGTGCTGCTCGTTGTGTTTAATGCTCCCATGTGCTTTCACTTTGCCTTCTGAAGGCAGCCAGGGCTCTAAAATCTCCTTTTCTGAGCTGCATTTCTGGTGTCTAATTTGCTGCAGGGATTGTATGGAGTGGCAGAGGTTCCATTGTGTGTTTTTGTGGTCAGACACATTTGGATCGTGATCCTTGGGGAAGTGCAGTTGAAGTTTTTCAGTCTCCCATATGGCATTGTATTATTCCCTAAGTAGATTGGCTTCATGCATTGTGCTGCAGAGGCTTTTAATAAACCCAGCTTTGTAACAATAGTGCTTTTGAGGAAATGAGCCTGGAGATTTTAGGGCTTCACAAGGGTTTTAGGATGTGCTCATCACACTGGGTTGGAAAAGACCACCTAGCTCAGTGAGTAGTCCCCACTGGTCTTATTAATGGTCCCATAAAATGTCTCCTCCTTTTATCTTAAGTGTTTAAATTCCTCCCACTGTTCCACTCTGTGAATGGTTGGCAATCTGTTGTTTGTTTGTATTTGAATTTTCAGCCTATTTTATTAATTCTACTTCTATATCTGTTTTATTTTTCTTTACCAGAACACATCCTCGAGATACTCACAAATCTCAGACCTATTCTTTCTGCTTTATTTGGCCTAATAAAACAAAACCAGATTATTTTCAATCTATGCCTATAAAATGTTCTTTTTTTCTTCTGATAGTTGTAATGCTTTTCTTTTGATCTGGTTTTTGGCTGTAGATATCCAAACTGTTTGTAGTATCTGAGAGTAGGGTGTTTGTTTCTTCTGTTGATTTTTCTCAGGGCTATTTATTCCTGTCCTCCTTTGAGTTAATTTTTTTTGGTGAACAGTTCCACACTGATGTTCATTTTGGGCAGTTTAAGTTTCTCATTTGGCACCACACCAGTTGCTTTGCTCAAGCAGATAAAACAAATCTTTTGTCTTCAGGATGTTCTCTCATGAACAAAACTCTTCATCAAATTGACTCCACCTGATTGTGTAAACCATGGAAATATATTATTGTGTTTTGTCAGTATTTACCTTCAGGTGTTTCTTGATTTCCTCCAAAATTCTTTCTAAAAGTCTGTGTGCCTCACAGGTTACAAGGATTCACTAAAATTCAGGTGCTGCTTCTACTCTTCTCAATTATCTGGCTTGATACCTCACTCACTGGAGCTGTACTTTGATTATTCCAAGCCTCCTGGAATTAGGGAATTGCAACTGCCCTGTTACCCAAATCTGGGTTTGTTAAAAACTGAGATGTTGAGCCCACAGAGGTGAAATCTGCTGTGCAGGATGAGGTGATGCCTTTGCCATCCTCACTCTAAAGGGTGCCAGAGGAAAATTTCTTTAGGCTTTGGGATGTGTTGATTTCTCTCATTTTTTTTCTTTGATGCCATAGCAGCTCTTTTTTAAACTTTCCTTGAATTATACAAAAAAGCCTGATATATTTCTTCTGGACCTGATATATTTCTATATTTCTAACACTTGTTAGCCTGACCTATTTTTGCTTTATCCCCAACCCTTTGACTCTTACAGAACACAAATTTCCCTTGCCCATTCCTTTTTTCCATCCCTCCCAGGCATTTCTTTGAGTCTCTTCTGTGTGTTTTGAAGTGGTTGTTTCTTGAGTTGTGTGGATCCTTCTGCATGAGCAATATTGCCTTTGTTAATATCAAAAGTATATTTTATTTTGATGGTTTTTATCTCCTACCCTTGTGTTTGAGATGCTGAGTTTTTAATGGAAAGCAGTCGTGTCCCCCCCAGTTGTTTTGTCTTGCAGACAGTTATTGTGAAAAATGACAATGGCTGTTGCCTTTACTTATGAAAAGAAGGGAAATTCCAGTTGTCACTTTGTCCCCAACCCTTTGACTCTTACAGAACACAAATTTCCCTTGCCCATTCCTTTTTTCCATCCCTCCCAGGCATTTCTTTGAGTCTCTTCTGTGTGTTTTGAAGTGGTTGTTTCTTGAGTTGTGTGGATCCTTCTGCATGAGCAATATTGCCTTTGTTAATATCAAAAGTATATTTTATTTTGATGGTTTTTATCTCCTACCCTTGTGTTTGGGATGCTGAGTTTTTAATGGAAAGCAGTCGTGTCCCCCCCAGTTGTTTTGTCTTGCAGACAGTTATTGTGAAAAATGACAATGGCTGTTGCCTTTACTTATGAAAAGAAGGGAAATTCCAAACACTGACAGGACTTTGTGATTCATCTGAATCTGATTTCTAGGTTCCCAGTGCCATTCAGATTAATGTGTCTTGGCTGGAGCAATTGGATGGGAGCCAAAACATTCCCTGGAGAAACGAAGGGTTTCCTTTTCTTTTGGGAGGGAGCAGAGTTTTTCTTCAATTTCAAGTAATGATTGCTGCAATCTCACCTCATGAAAATTACAGCAGTGCTTCAAAGAGACTTGAATTAATTCAGTTCCTGCTCTAGAGCACTTGGGCTATAAACACCAACATTTCTATCAGGGAAAACGAGGCCGTTTCAGTAAATTCCTAAAGCACTTCCAGGCTAGCCAAAGAAAAGGTTGCAAAATCTGATCAGTGGATTTGAATTCTAAAATTGAAAGAGATCTCAAGGCACATCTCATTCCAACCCTCTGCCATGGGGAGGGAACCTTCCAACTCTCCCAGGTTTCTCCAAGCCCCATCCAACACTTGGACACTTCCAGGCATGGGGCAGCCACAGCTTCTCTTGCAGCAAAACCTTTATTGTACAATATTTAATGGCTTGTGCCTGTTTTTTTTTAGGTGAGCAAAACCAATTCACAGCAAATTTGGGAAAATAATGACACTCATGCATAGATCTGGTTTGTTCCAGGTTTTCTCTGCATGGCAAAACCAGACAAACTCAGGATTATCTTTAAGGGTTGTCCCAGAAGAATTCCTGTCTGAGGAACAAAAGAGGCTGTAAGTTCCTGCCACTGCAGTGCAGTTACACAGAAGCTGCAATCAGAAAAATGCTGTTATTTATTGGTTTTGATAATAATTATTTTTTTAAAATTGTGCATTCTTAGTGCAACACTCCATTTTTTTTTGTACCATTTCATATATACCCATGTGGTTTAAAGAAGAGAAATTTTTAGGTTTCTTCTTTAACTAATTAATTAATTAATTTCCTTCTTTTAGGCATTCCAGTGTCCAGAAGCTTTTCAATGCCTTGTCTTTTGCTTCTGGGGAAAGATGCAGGGAGCTGAAACTGTCTGCTGCCATTCCAGGATTGGAGAGGTGAGAAATTACTTTTGTGTTCAAGGGATTCATTCTGTCAGAAATTAGACAAAAATGTTTTGGTAGATGTGATAGCCATCTAAAAATGTTTCTTAAATAATTCTCTCTTTACACTAGGATGTTTTTATTCTGAGATGAATTATTTCCTCTCTAGCTTGACCTTTTCATACTCTTGTTTTAGTAATTTCCCAGCTATTTATGTGGATGAATTTTTTTTTTTTTGTCAATTGTAAGGAAGTAAACCTTTTATTTTTGGAAGGTTTGTGCAGCACTTCACAGTCAGCAGCGTCAGCACCAAGCCAGTGATGAGGGCACATCTTCCTGTCCTTCTCCAACAGTCAGAAACCATTTCTGACAGCAAAGCAGAAGGTGGTAAGGTAAGGAAACAACTCTACAATAATTCCTAGCCCTCATATAGAATATTTGGAATATTCTGTCAGTAGTTCTGTTGTAGTGTGATAAAATACTAATCATGTTCAGCCATGCTCTGCCTCCTCCTCCACTACCACCAGTTTTTGTCTTGTTTTCCTGGTTATATACTTAATTCTTTTCCATTTAAACAATCTTTTGGAAGTGCAAATGGCCTTTCAGCCTGATGAAGTAGAGGCAGAAAATGAGGTGTAGATCTTTAAGTGAAGTGTTTTCTCTAATGTCCTGAGAGACTTTGCCCTAAAGCAGCAGCTTGTTTTTTATGAATTGCTGAATAATTTAACTGAATTGTTCTCTGGAACATAAAAGTCCTTTAAATAGCATAGAGGTAGCACATGATATTTAACATTTGCTGATATTATCTGTACAACACTCCTTTCTCTATAGGGGAAATAACAATTGTCCAGTTTAAGGTGGGCTTTAAATAGCATTTTCAAAGAAAATATTTCCTGGGAGCTTCCCAGCTTTTGAAATCTGCTGAAAACAAAGTCAAAGCAGCAGGAACGTAATCTTTCCTTGCAACATTGCTGGGGTCTGGTTCAGAGACCATTCTGACAATTAATAAACCCTTAGGAGCATTTTAAAATCTGATTTTAAGGTTGGTTTAACTGCGGATTCTTAAAAAAAAAAAAGAAAAATCTATATGAATCATAGGAAACATCCTTTTTGGTGTCTGCACCAGTATCTCTGTGGTTATTTTGTGTTTAGACTTCCCTTGTGCCCTGTTCCTGTGTTGCAGGTGATCATCACCATCATCACTGGGCTCCCAGGGTGCCGTTCCAGCGACCTCTGCTCTTTCCTTGTCACTTTTACCAAGGAGCATGGCAGGTTGGTGCAGCTCTGCTTACACTGAGCACCAAAAAACAGCTTGGCATGAAGGCAAAAAAAAATTACCACTGTTTCATTTGGTGTTTTTTTAAACCTAATTTCAGACTGCCAGGTAGATTTGCCCTTAAATTTATACATTTAGACAGAAAAACAGCACAGGAGATTTCTTTGTTGCCTATTCCATGTGGTGAACAGCTTCCATTTATTGATTTGTAGTGATTCTAAAATGCTTTTCTGGTTTTGTTTTGTTTTTTTTCTTTTTTTTGAGAAAAGACTGTACTAGCAGTCCTTGCCACAGCATTGTTTTTAATTTAGCCTGATTTGAGGTACATTCAGGACATCTGTTGTATGGCAATGAGATAAATCTGCTGTAGGAATTTGCCATTCTGTGTCTTGATAGAACTTCTGAAAAAAAAATAAATTATCCTTTTAATTCTTTTAGACAAACACCTTAGCATTTAATCTTAGCCATGTTCTGCACTGTTCTTTTACTTTTAACTCAATGTCTTGATTTTATCAAGTTGATTCAGAGCAGTTTTGTTATTCTGTTATAGGGCAGACACGTAAGGTGACTTTTGAAGGTTGTGTAATAACACAGCTCCTCATGTTTTCCTGCAAATGTCATTGTTACTTTCCTTTTTTGCAGTGAAATATTTTCATGCCAAGAGTCTTGAATTAGATTTGTCTAATTTTTGTTTACTGCATCACTGCCAGTGATCAGAATTACTCATATGATGTACAGCTTTGAAAAAAGCTGGTGAACACAGTTTTATTGAAAAGCAACAAAAAAACACCCACAACCCCCTTTGGCAGCCATGTAAAGAATGTGCATATGCTGAAAATGATAGAAAGCCAAATAAATTCCCCTTCCCTACGTGACCATGTGGAATGAGATCATGACGAGAGCTGTGAAAACTTTGCGCTTGTCAAACTTCATTTTGGTCTGTTGCTTGAAAAGAGGTGTTCTGGTTTGAAAGCAAAATCAGTGAGAGACTCCAAGTCAGAAATATAATTTATTAGGAAAAAGGGAAAAAAAAAAACCCCAAATACATGCAATAATACAAAAGAAAAACCACTGAGAGAGTCAGAATACAACCTGTGGGTCAGGGTGTTGGTAGCAGTTCAGCTGGAATGGTGGCTGCAGTCCTGGAGTGTCAGGTGTGGTTCTGTTGGAGCAGGGATCCTGTAGAAAGGTGGAGTCTTCCTCTGAAGATCCAGTGGAAAAGACAGTTGTTCCTCTGGGAATGCAGTGGAAAGTTTGTTCTGCTGTCCCAAAAATCTCAGATTGTATCCAGGTAGGAATGCTTGGCTCCTCCCCTGGGCAGAGCACCTCCCAGTGGGATGATGGAATTTTATCAGCCATGCAGGGACACTCACAGGCCCATGAACAGAAGATAATTAATAATTAATGGCCCATGGACAGAAGATAATTAATAATTAATGGCCCATGGACAGCAGAGATCTCCTGGAGGGAGGATTGGTTATGGAAGAGATAAAGAAAACTGCCCAATGAACAGAAGAGAACTGCCCCAGCTCTGGAGATGGAAATAGAACACACATTGCTTGGCAGTCTAGGACAATAGGAAGCAAACAGAAGTGTTCTATGGAGGGGTTTGGTCATTGGCTTGTAAGTAAAGTTGGGTTAATAGAAGAAATAACAATTGATGATTTTTGAGTGTATTTATATCAAGGAAGAAAACAAAGTTGTTAGTATGGAAACAGATTAGAAAAGATACATGAGCATTTTTGTAAGCTAAGCTACATGCATAAGTAGATGTGTATACGTGCTTTATTAAATTTTTGTAAAACTTTTGCCAATTATATTGACGCTAATTGCTTTGCACCAACGAATAGAACAAGTTATGGTGACGTAGTTAATGACTTAACCTTGTTAATAAGAATATATAAGAATATACAAACTAAAAACCACACAAAATAAAAAACCTTTTTCTCCTTAAACGCTGCTCACGTGTGTATGTGTCACTCCAGGCTGACGATGGCCTTTGCTCTCTGTGTGTGCCTCAGGTGGGTTGTGTATCGGCAGACCATGGACAGCCCGCAGTGTTTCAGCGCCTCCCACTTCCAGCGCTTCCTGGCCGGGCTCCTGGAGGCCCAGCAGAACCTTGGAGTCCATCAGCCCAACCACCCTGGGAAGAGCAACAGGCTCCTGGTGGTGCTGCAAGGGTAAAGAATCCAAACTCTTGGAGCTGTTGTGTAGAATAAGGCAATTTTGGTTTATGTGTGGGCCAAACTCAGCTTTTCTGTCGCTGTTGGTTTTTGTTGTTCCTGTAAAAAAGGTGTCCTTAGCATTCCTTGCATGTGCTGGGTGCACTCACAGCCCTGAACCTCCCTGTGTGGGCAGCAGGGGAGGGGGATTCTGCCCCTGTGCCCTGCTCAGGTGAGATCTCACCTGCAGAGCTGCCCCAGCTCTTAGGTCCCAGCAGGACAAGGACTTGGAGCTGTTGGAGTCAGTCCAGAGGAGACCAAAAACACTGCTCTGAGGGGCTGGAGCCCCTCTGCTCTGGAACCAGGCTTGGAGAGCTGGGAATGCTCACAAGGCTCCCGGGAGAGCTCAGAGCGCCTTGCAGGACCTAAGAGAGCTGGAGAGGGACTGGGGACAAGGCACAGAGGGACAGGACACAGGGAATGGCTTCAGATTGAAAAAGGGGAGATTTGGTTGGGATACTGGGAAGGAATCCCTGGCTGTGAGGGTGGGCAGGCCCTGGCACAGCGTGCCCAGAGCAGCTGTGGCTGCTCCTGTATCCCTGAGGTGTCCAAGGCCGGGTTGGAGCAGTTTGGGGTAGTGAAGATGTCCCTGGTTGTTGCAGGAGGTTGAACTAAGATGACCTTTAAAGGTCTCTTCCAACCCAAACTGTTCTGTGATTCTGACTCCAGAACTGCCAGCAGAAATCAAACTGTCAAAGATCTCCTGTTGCCTGATAGAGCAGGTGATAAGGACTTACTTAGTAACGTGTTTTGGATAAATGCCATTTTCCTTGTGGGATAAAGGTGAAGACTGAGCCACCTGTGTTTGACATTTCCGTCTGAAATGTAGCATTTGAGAGCCAGGATCATCTTCTGAATCATTAGAAGGTGACACAAACCAGTGTGAGGGAGGCACTACCCTGACCTGGCTGCAGTGATTTCCAGCTCATCCTCCTCACTGAGGATGAACAAATGGAGCTCAGCATTTTCTTAGTTGTGGTCCATTCTGATAGTGTTAAAAACCATCATTTTTTCCATGTTGGAGCCAGATTGATTTATTTTTTTGTGTAATTAGTAGGGATGGTGTTAAATCCATTGATGGGCAAAATAACTGATACTCTGGTAGCAGCACTGGCTTCAGGAACAGATAATTGAAAGTTTTCCATTCTTTATGGGTAGGTGGGTGTTGGTGTAGACAGCTTTAGAGTAGCTGAAGTTCTCTAAATATCCCATTCAGCTGATAACTGACAGTAGAGAAAAGTTTGTAACTGGCTGAGAAATAAATACCTGAAATGAAAACTCAGGTTCACCAAAGCCTGGATGTCATACAGAGATAAAATGCAACAGTGGTTCAAGTCCTGATAAAAAAAAGGATACATTAATGGTAGAAACATATTTAAATTGGGATGCTGATAAGTGAGAGAGGCTGTTATTTTATTCCTTTTTTTAACTCAAATTGTGCTTAATTTGCTTGGCATTAGGCATAAAATGTTTGTGTTACATTGTGCTTTTTGTGCTTTCTGCAGGCTGGACTTTCCAGCTGTTCAGTGCAAAGTTTACACTGTTTTTCTCTGGATTGTTAATAATTTATTTTTAATGTAACTTCCAGTTAGCTTGTTTGCTGGATTTGCTTAATTTGTCTGGATTTGCTTAATTTGTTTGGATTTGCCAAGCTCTGAGCTGGTTTCCATCTCTTTTGGTAGCTCTTTTGGAAGTCCAATTTTCCTCCAAGCCATCGATTTCTTCCTGAGTAGGGAACTGTTCTGTTTCTCTGAACCCATTTTTCATTTTGGTTTCTTGCAGGTACACTGATGTTATTGATGTTGTGCAAGCTCTGCAGACTCACCCTGACCCAGATGTGAAATCTTCTTTCATCATTGGAGCAGTCAACACCTGTGTGGAGCCTCTGAGCTGCTACATGGAACACAGGTGTGCTTTGAAATATTTTTACAAGTTTAAGAGCAAATACGGCAATTTTTGGTATCACTTTTGTAATAATTAGTGATTTGTGATGGTCAAAAGCCACTTAAATCCCATAAAATTGCTTAATAATTCAGCTTGGAGGAACCTGGAAGTGCTGTTTGGTATATCAGGATGGCACTTGGTTTCCACTGGATATTTAATTATATATAATATCAATAGAAGTTCAGCTCCAATAGTAGTTCAGCTCCTAGAAGAATAAACAAAGCTTGTTTAAGTACAAATCCTCTGGTTAAGGGCTTTGTAACATTTGGACAGTCAGTTATCCTTGAATAATTCTTTTTTTTGCAATCTTGTAGTAAGTCAGACTAGAAATGGAAACGTGCTTCTCAGTTTGGGTTATCCATTCTGCCACTACTTTTGGATGTTTAAAAAGACTTTACAAGTTTAAAATATGGAATTGAAGGGAAACAATCCCTGAAATGGGAAAGAGAATGACAAAGCACGGAAGCCAAAGCATTGCAAGTGTTAAAATCTGATATCCTGGGTTACTGCAGAGCCAGGGTGGGGAGGAAATGGTCACAGAGCCAAGTCACTGACCTTTGCAAATAGTTTGGTTTCATAGTAAATGTGTGTGCTCCAGACTTCAACAAAACATGGAAATAATTTCTCAGACCTACCTGTAAAATTGTAACACTCCAATTTTTTAATTATGCCTTGCAGCTGATTTGATGAAAGTAAGTTCCAGCAGTTAGAGTTTTTGGAGTTGGTAGCACTGCTTCTGTTTGTGATCAAACTGTGCATCACAGCTTAGAGGAGAACTGCCCAAGCAGTTTCTAAAAGTGCATTCCTGACATTTCCTGGCTGTTCTTAAACACTAACCAACGTGCTGCTTGTGCTTTGCAGTAGTCAATAAATAGACCTTACCTTGCTGCTGCTTCTTGTCTCTGTGACAAAGATACCAAATAAATATTAAAGACTACATCAGAAATTGGTGAATTGATGCTGGAGTGCTGTTTAAACTTGTTCTTTCCATAATTCTAGGAAAGACAAGTTCCATTTCTGTTTTATTTTTAACTTACTAACGTGTTCCTAGTCATGGTACTGTGTAGTGTTTAGCAGCAGCAGCCTGCAGTCCTTTCACACTGTTTGTCTCCTCAAGTGCAGAAGCAATTGAAGGCAGAGGCTCAGCCTGTGCTGTAGATTATTTATATTTTGCTTTGGAGTTTGTTCTGATAAGAATTTCCCAAGCAGCCACACAGTGCCAATGGCAAACCTTGCAGTTGGGAAGCTTTGGTGATTTCACCGTGAGAGTGGAACAGAGTGGATTTCATGTCTGGCTTGAAACTTGCACTCAAGAAAATCAAACCCATTTCCTGCCTCAGAGTTCATCCCTGTAGAGATCCAGCTCTTCCATGAGCATGGCATGAAGCTTTTCCCCATTCTGAATTAGCAGACCAGGGCAGGGGAGAGGGAGTTGAAGGGAACAGGTAAAATACTCTTCCTGAGGTTTTGTGTCCATAATAAAGCTCCTGAAAAGAATTGTCACTTGTCTGACACAGCAGCAGAAATTGGCATTCTGTACATCCAGTCTTTCTATGGAAAGTTCCCACTCTTTGAAAGGCACAATTCTTTAGGGCAAACTTTAAATTCCTATTGTTTAAATAAGAATTAAAATAACATTGAAGCATTTCTGACTCCTTAGAGTACAGAAGAAATTGCATGGTGGGAGAAAAAAAAATCTGTTGGAGAATTAAAACCATTTACAAACTTGATTTTTGGGGGAAAAGTCCTGAAAGACATAACCTGTGAGGATGTTGTAGTTATATGGATTGAGGAAAAGAAGCATGAAAATGGTTTGGTTTGTGAGACTCTGTCAGTGTCCAAGTGAATGTAAATGTTTGACTTAAATAATAATATCCATTCTTGATATGTGAACTTTTTGGTTTTTTAGGCTTCTTTTTCCCAAGTTCTTGGACCAGTGTTCACAAGGTATGTGTCAATTTTCCTGACTTTGAGTTCTACAGAATTGGTCATTGTTGAAGGAGAAACTGCAAAATACCCAGGACAAGAGTAGTTGATTTTCTTGCAGTCAGAATGCTGCAAGAATTACAAATAACTGAGCCATGTGGCCAAACAAACACCTGTTTGCATTTTATTATTTTGTGCTATTAATACACATAGCCAAAGGATCATGATAAACTCTTGGAGGTAAGAACAGACAATCTCTCTTAAACATCATAGGCAGAAAATGAAAAAAATCTGGAGCATGATCCATTTTGAAGTCCTCATCTGCAGGATGGGTTTCCTAAGACCATTAATTAGACATTAATTAAACTGCTTACACTGAACTGTAACTGGGAGTGAAGTGGATTGGACTGGAGTTCCACCCTCCTTTGGGGATGTGTGAGGAAATGGAGCTTTCCTTTCACTTCTGCTCTATTAAAAAGGGAAAAATGAGGGGTGACCTTGTTCCTCAAATCCTCCTCTTGGTGTGGCCTTGCAGGGCTCATCTCCCACTGCAGCAAAGCAGCTCAGCTGCAGGGCTGGTCCTCACCTGTGGGTTCAGTTTTATTCCTGAAATCAGTCACTGGCTGCACTTGGCAGGCTTGGGAATTAGAGCAGGAGCTGGCATAAATGGGATATGATCCTTCCTCACCTGCCCTCAAATCCCTGCCCCAGGTGTTCAAGGCCAGGTTGGGTTTATTTTGTCTTCATATTTAAATGCAGCTGTTGGAAAATCAGAGTAGGATGCTGTGCTCTTCTTGTGGCTGCTTAAAACTCTGATTGCTCTGCTTGGCTGCCAGAGTGCTGCCACCTCTTTTTCATGAAGAGAAACCTTAAAGAATGAAGTTGTGAACAAGCTGGACAGAAAGTGGGTGCTGTTGTATAAATCAGTATTTTATTTGGAGAAAAATGTTGATGCTCCAAATTGGAAAATTATCATGTGTACAGCCACTGGTAAAATTGAAGAGAGCAGGAGAATGTTAAGAATATGAAAAATTGTTAATGACTACAGAGAAATTAAAGGTGCAAATTGTTTTATGAAAGAATAAATGAAACAAATACTCAAAGCTTTGTTTTTCTTAGAGTGAATTTGTACAGACTGGATTGGGTGAGAATTGGTCATTGTTGAAGGAGAAACTGCAAAATACCCAGGACAAGAGTAGTTGATTTTCTTGCAGTCAAAATGCTGCAAGAATTACAAATACTGGAGGTTAGAGGAATGTTCTTGTGGCAGGGAATAATTTCTGCACATTGCAAAGTGTTGTCATCCAGTTCTGTGATACAGAATGTGACATCAGATGGCCCAGGGGTCACTTTGTGGAAAGAAATAGTTTCACCAAAAAAGGGGTAATTTTTGTGTAAAAGGCTCAGGAGGAAAAGTAGGCTTTGAAGTGAGATGTGGCACACTTAAACTTTCCAGACAGATGCAGAATTGTGTCATGTGTGTAATAGAGAATTTACATCTGTATAATTCATGGAATCTCAGACTGTTTTGGGTTGAAGGGACCTTAAAGAGCCTTCAGTGCCACCCCTGCCATGGCAGGGACACCTCCCCCTGTCCCAGGCTGCTCCAAGCCCCTTCCAACCTGGCTTTGGGCACTTCCAGGGATCCAGGGGCAGCCACAGCTGCTCTGAACAATTGAGAGAGGAAAGAAATTGTTTCACCAAAAAAGGGGTAATTTTTGTGTAAAAGGCTCAGGAGGAAAAGTAGGCTTTGAAGTGAGATGTGGCACACACTTAAACTTTCCAGACAGATGCAGAATTGTGTCATGTGTGTAACAGAGAATTTACATCTGTATAATTCATGGAATCTCAGACTGTTTTGGGTTGAAGGGACCTTAAAGAGCCTTTAGTGCCACCCCTGCCATGGCAGGGACAGCTGCTCTGAACAATTGAGAGAGAATTCATTATGGTTTCACACACACCTGGGAATTCATTTTTGGTGCAACAACAGCGAGATTTAATGAGACATTCACACAGAGATATTAATTCATATTTGTGGAATGTTGTGCACCCCAGTATTGTTTGTTTTGCTGTGTCACCAATGGGCCAGGACTGTGTTGTGTTGGTTTTTGGATTTTTTTTTTTGTTGTTGAAGTTGGGATTGAAGGTACTTGAGATGATACTTTGTGTTTAGACTTTAGTGTTTCTTTTTAAAATTTCTATTACAGTCTTATAGGTAGTGGGTTATGTATTTAGTATCTTACTAATAAGGTACAAAATTTTTGTTATAAGGTTTTTTTAAGGTTAAACTATCTTATTAAGAAATGATACTTAAATTGTTTTTACTTTTAAGTTAATTATTAACTTAAATAACTTGAAGTCTGCAATGCACACGTTTCTGTCTAATGAAAAAATACTACTCAAACTTATGAAGAAGGTGAAGAAAAAGGACTAGCTTTTGTTCTAAAACTTTTGTTTTATATATATATATTACTATATTTTAAAACCCTAAACTCTTTAGGTTTTTTACTTTGTGATATTATATGCTTTTAACTAAATGATACACTTGTAATTTTAGTGTTATTAATTAATTTTGGAAGCTTTCTTTATGGCTTAAGGTCTAATATAGTGTTTTCTTGGGAAAAGTGTGTCTGTTAGTACAGAAAGTCTGAAATTCTCAGTATCCAGAACTCTAGCAGTGTTTTACTGGGCTTTGTACACATCTGAAACCAGAACTTTGTGGGTGTGAGAAAAGCCAAGTGCAGCCATAGGCAAGTGGGAATTAATTAATTTGGAGCTGTGCTTTCTCCTTCTCTCTTCCAAATGTGGGGAGGGAGTTGGGTTTGCCTTCTGCTGCCTTTCTCTGCATCACAGGGGTTTCTGGGCATGTTATCAGTGTGACATTTTCCAAAATTTCTGTTTGGAGAGCCCCAAGACTGACAGAGGCAGATGAGGATTGGGGAGAACTGACAAAGCTCGAGCAGAATGACCACCAGGAGTACCCTGTGCATACTTCCTTAAACTTCTCCAAAAATTCCTGCCACCAGCTGTGTGCTGTAATTCCCTTTTGTCTCTTTTCTCTTCCTTTTTCTGTCCTTTCTTTCTTGCACAGAAGCTGTAAGATGATACCTTCCTAGTCCAAGGGCACCCTGGCATCCCTTGTGAAACAATTTCCTATAGAACACAAATTAAGACATCACCATTGTTAAATATTCCCATTGTAAGTTTGGGAGCAAAGAGGAGCCATTATTTTCATACAGCATATGTATTTTTAATCCATCCCTCCTGTTCCTTTCCTGCTTCCATTGAACATGCTATTCCCCAGGCTGCAAGGGTTCTTTTCTTTAGAGGAGTGTATAAATAAAGATTTAAACAAAACTGGGTGGTCTTCAAAATGCATCTCTTAGAAACAGAGATGGCAGTGGCATTTTAAATAGAAAATGTTAAATTTGTTCATTACTGAAGCTGTGGAGGCACCTTCCACTTCTCAGGAAGTTGTTTTTCTTTCGATTACACTCCCTGTGCTCAGTCCAGGATCATGAACTGGTGCCTGTGATCCCAACACCTCCAGGATTTATGGCTGGGTGTGAGCAGAGCCAGAGCTCTGAGCAGGCTTCTCCTGCTTCCAGTGAGGAGTGGCAGGGAGTGCCCTGGGCAGGCACACCCAGAGCAGAGATTGATGGAGAAGGAGCAGGCTGCTGAGGAGGAGATGAGCTGCAGAGCTGTGCCATTTGCTAGGTTTGATTTCCCCTGAATATTTTTTTTTTTAACTTAGAGCTTTTCCAGCTTCTCCTTGACAGTTGTGGATTCTCTCCAAGGCACGGTGCTGCCAATTGTCACATGGACTCAGTGGCAGCTCTGTGGCACAGCCACAGGGTGGTGGTGGGTGATTCAGGAATCCCAGAATGGTTTGGGTTGGAAGAGACCTCATCTCATTCCAAGTGCTGCCAATTGTCACATGGACTCAGTGGCAGCTCTGTGGCACAGCCACAGGGTGGTGGTGGGTGATTCAGGAATCCCAGAATGGTTTGGGTTGGAAGAGACCTCAAAGCTCGTCTCATTCCAGCCCCCTTCCACCATCCCAGGCTGCTTCAAGCCCCATCCAGCCTGGCCTGGAATATTCCAGGGATGGAATTATTATCTTATTCATGGTATAATTATATAATTCATATTTTTATCCTAATGTCATGATTAATATCCCCAAACTTGATATAATTTCAAGCCTGCACGTGGCTTAAATTTCAAAGGGTGCTTGCTGTTGTCCTTTCCTTTTCCCCCTCCTCCAAGAGCAAATGTGTATTGGAGAAGACATGGATGTTCCTGAAATTGGAGTAGAAACTTCTGTGCAAGGTTAGAAGAGAAATACAGTGATGGAGACTTGTGCTGTTAATGAAGTTCTGGCTTGGAAGGGTCAGTGATGCAAAGAGCAGTGACTGGGAGTTTGTGGTGCAATGGAAGTGCCCCAGAAATATTTGGTGCAGGAATTTGTGTGTAAAGCAGCATGGATTAATGTGATTTAAGACTTGTGTAAAGACCAGGAATTACTGCAGGCAGCAGATCAGGTGTGATCAGTTGTTAACATCTTTGCTTTGAATAGTTTGAGGCAGAGGAAATGCATCCTGGCTCTGTTGTTTGTGGATATTGGAGAGTCTCTGTTCTTCCTTCCACCCCACTTGTAGTCACAGGAAAGTGTCAGAGCAGGGCTGCACATCTTGAGCAAAGAAATAACATTTATTGTAAAATTGCAGAATTGTTTAGGTTGGAAAAGGCTTCTAAGACCATCACATCCAGTCATCAACGCAGCACCACTGCCCAGTTCCCCATTACCCCTGTCAAGAGCCACATCCCTGTGTTCTTTGAACACTTCCAGGGATGGGGACTCCACCACTGCCCTGGCAGAACCCTTTCCATGAAGAAATATTTCCTAATATCTCATCTAAACCTCCCCTGGCACAACTTGAGGTCGTTTCCTTTCCATTTCCTCTCCATCCCTCACATCCAGGACAATACAGCCATCCTGGGGAGGCACCAAGTGTTGACACTGCAGTTTCTTTGAGGAACTGGGCTGAAAGTCAAATCATGTATCATTGGAAAGCAGGGATCCTACAACTGAAATTAACTGGATGGTTTTCTGGTATCTTTTTGATGCCTCATGAGTTCAGTCTTGCTGTCTGAGTACCCTTTTGGAGTCTTTAAAGACAAAAAATAACCCTAAACCCTTCTCTTATTTTTGGAAGTGGCAACTGAGTGTCCAAAATACTGATTTTTAGCTCAGTGTCTTACTGCACGTTGAATTCACCAAGAGATTTTACACTTTATTGTTCTCTTTTTCTTAAACTAGTCCTGCTCAAATTGATTCTTGTATGGATTTGTTATTTTAATGAATAGATTCAGTGGATTGAGTCTAAATTGATTCTGTTAGATGGAAGATTCTCTGCTTGGCTTTTTTGCTGTAGTGGATTTTCTTTTTGTCTTTAATGAAAGAATGCAGTGAGAGGGAAGGAAAATAAGAGAAGAATGGTTGGAATATCACTGAATGGTTTATTAGTCACTGTTTACATGCCTGAGCTGTAAATTATCCCCTGATTTCCTTCCACAGGACTGGTGAGTAACGTGGTTTTCACAAGTCATGCCACAGAGCAGAGACACCCACTCCTGGTGCAGCTGCAGAGCCTGATCCGAGCAGCAAATCCTGGAGTTTCCTTCATCCTGGCAGAAAATGGGATTGTAACAAGGTAACTTCCATCAGGATTTATTGCTTTTGGCACATGGGCCACAAGCACTCAGAAACTTCTGTCCTCTTCTTTTTACTCTGCTGATTTATAGGAAGGAAATGCAGATTTTTCTTAATTGCTTCTCGTGCAAAAGGGATTTTCCCTTTACGTTTATGAGCACATAAATACAGGGATTAGGAAATGTGTTTTGTTTGCAGAGTGTGATTTATGTTACTGTTACTGCCATACTAAAGGAAAAGTGCTCTTAATTTTACTGTCACTAGCACATTATGTTTTATGTAAGTAGATAGTGGCCATTTTATTTAACTTAGAAAATTAAAAATCTTCATTTTTATCTCTTTACAGGAACGAGGATATTGAACTAATTCTCTCAGAAAGCAGTTTTTCAAGTCCTCAGATGATGAGAGCTCGATATTTAATGTACCCTGGCTGGCAAGTATCTAGACTGAGAAGTATTAAAACTATTTTTCTAATTAACTTGAAGATTAAAATGTTTCACTAACTTCATTTATATTTTTTTTTTTCCCTGAGACTACTCATTTGGAACAGGCAGCAGCTTTGTAAATCATTTTTAAGAGAGCTGATGATTATTCTTAGTGGATACAAGATTGCTGCCCTTTTATGGGGGAAAAATCTCCTTTCTGGTCACCATTTAAATCAATGGCAAGATTACTGTTGCTTTCCAGAAGAATAGGCAAGAACCCTGTGGGAATAAACTGGGAAGGATTGGGATGGGTGAGGTCAATAATGACTGGAGTAATTTCATCCTGACAGCTATTCAGCATTACTGGAATGAACTTGCTCTGTCAGTCTGGTCATCAGCAGAGCAATTATTCACAAAAGCCAGGAACCTCAGTGACAGCCCTGGCACAGCTCAGGCACAAACCCACGTGGCACCAAACTTTCCACTGAACACCGAGGGAGATTTCTCCTGGCTCAGGGCTCTTCACACATCTTGTTGCAATTCTTTCTGCTGCACCTTTTTGGCAGAAATCTGCAGCTGTCAGCCAGCATAATTGCTGGCTGACCAGGCTCTGTGCTGGAGACATCATTTATTTATCATACCTTGCAGTCCTCTGTATCTCTTTCTTAATAAATTTGGTTCTGAATTGGATGCAAGTAGCCAAGTAAAGCTACTGGAGTGAAGCACAAGGCTTGGGGTGAGGATATTGAATTAATATCATCAGAGCTGCTTGTGGATTGCATGGAGCCAAAGAGAGAGAGCAGGAAAAGAAAATATTTCAAACTTTTGGACAGCTGTTAATCTGTTTGATGACAGTATGCAAGAATTGGATCTGGGTAGTGTGGAAGAGAAGGAAAGCAGCAGGAAGAGCATCAAAAGCATCCAGGGAGATTTTATTGCAGCATTACCTAAAGAGGGCTTATAAAAAAGGGGTAGAATGACTTTTTACATGGGTGGATGGTGACAGGACAATGGAGAAGGGTTTTAAGCTAAAAGAAGAGAGATTTAGATTAGATGTTAGGGAAAATTCTTCCCTGTGAGGTGCTGGGCCCTGGCACAGGGTGCCCAGAGAAGCTGTGGCTGCCCCTGGATCCCTGGAAGTGTCCCAGGCCAGGTTGGAGCAGCAGGGCTTGGAGCAACCTGGGCTAGGGGAAGGTGTCCCTGCCCATAGCAAGGGTGGGAATGAGATGATTTTTAAATTCTGACTCAAACCATTTCATGACTCCATGAAAAGGAGTCCCGAGTGCTTTGACCAACCTAATGCTGTTGGCAGCACATCTTCACAGAGAAGAAATCTCTGTATTTCCCTTCCTCTGAACAAGGCTCACCTGTGCTGAAAGAACAGATGTTCTTTGCTGGATGAGCAGCAGAAGCTGCTGTGATTTCTGTGTGTTGAAGGGGTTTGTTTTTGTCCCCAGGTTCGAGGGCAGATACGGGGCTGGGCCCGTGTTCCCTCCCATGGTTCAGATCTGTGTGTGGTTCAGCCGCCCTCTGGAGAAAACACGATTTGTCACCAAATGCAAAGGTACCAGTGAACTTTGCCTGACTTGATTGAAATCCAAGTTTGGGATGCTGAGGGATAGAGGGGAAGGAAGGCACTGACGTAACACAGTTATTTAATCACAGCTGAAGTTAACTTTTAATTGAAAACTCAGCTTTCCTTCCTAAAAGTACAGTAAATTCTGTTCCTTAGTGTCTGCTCTGGAAAATTGTCCCATGATTTTTGTTCAGATGAAAGTCTAATTGAATTTTTGGTTTCTAGGACTGAGACAACTTCCTGTGTTTGCTTTTTTATTTTATGTCTCATTGTATTTGGTAGTGTTGAAATGCAGTTTTATAAGTGATCATCAGCTTTTACTTTTTATGCCAAATAATTCTTTGTAGCTCCTAGAAAACAGACTCTGCTCTAGAGCAGATATATTGTCAAACCTCTCCTTCTCTGCTCAGCCAAGTGGTGTTAAAGAGGAGGATTTTACCTCCCATACACACTGTGAGAGTTTTTTATGCCAAACACACCTTATTTCCCAAACTCCATGGCAAAGAATGAGAAAATAATTGTTATATAGTGGGACTCCAAGGGGCATGGCAGCTTTTCCTTTGGAAGCACTGGCATGTGGATTAGAGATCAGTTACACAGGTTTTACCAGAAGCTCCACCAAGGAGAAGAAAAATAACTTGAGATAATCTGTTTATCTTCTGTTTCAAACAGCAATTAAATCGTTGCTCAAGCCAAGTCCTTTTTCTGGAAACATTTATCACATCATGGGCAAAGTGAAGTTTTCAGGTAAGGGCAAATTACTCTGAGGTGTTGTGATCACGCTGCACCTTATGGGTGTTCAAAAAGGTATTTCTGTCCTGGATTCTGTCTGCACCATTGTTGATGTTAGATTAGATTAGCAATTATCAGGCTCTTCCTTCTGTCTTCTCCTTGTTAGATGCTGATAAAGTCATTGAAGTCTGTCACAACACGGCAGCAAATTCCCTAAGCCTGGTGCCTGTTCCGGAGGGGCCAACTCCTCCCGATGCCAGAAATGATCCCAGAGACTGCAGCAGTCAACAGGAATATTTCCTTGTGTTCATTGGCTGCTCCCTGAAGGAAGAGGATATCAAAGATTGGCTCAGAGAAACTGCAAAACAGGTTTGTGGGCAGGTTTCCTTTTGTTCAGTGCTTGGCATTTCTTAACAACCAAATCCGAGTGTTTCAGTGAAACTTTTGGGTTTCTTAATTAATCTTTCTTTTTTTTTTTTCTTCTACCAAGGTATTGACATTCTAGGGTGCAAATGGATTTCAGGAAGGGGACTAAGAGTTTACAAATGTGTGTTGTAATCTCTGTATTGTTTTAGTGCTTGCTACAGCTTATTCATGGATTGATTTGCTCTTGAATGCTTGAGCAAATGGATTATGTCCAGGATAAACACAGGATGATTTAGCTGAGCTGTGATTGCCAAGGGCTGAAGTGTGCTGTGAAATAAATCTTCTTCCAGTACCTGAACGCTGGCAAAGCTGAAAATTTGTTTTGATTCACTAAATTAAACCTCCTTGGAAGTAATCCACTGAAAAGGAGGGTAGAGTCCTGTTCATTTTGTCATCTTTAATTAGTGTATTTCTGCATGGCTGATGTATGCATGCAGTGAGGAGTAGGGAGCAGGGAATGTGGCTGTTGTAGGAAGCTCAGAGGGCAGAATTTACACAGAGAGACTGCCACAGCTGATTGACAGAATCACAGATCCATAAAATCCTGCAATGGTTTAGCTTGGAAGGGACCTTAAATCCCATCCAATTCCATCCCACTGCCATGAGCTGGGACACCTTCCACCATCCCAGATTGTTCTAAATCCTGTCCAACCTGGCCTTGGACACTTCCAGGGGATCCAGGGGCAGCCACAGCTTCTCTGGGCAACTTTTTGGAACATTTGTAAATTAAAAATACTCCATATTACTTCTATATGGATTAGGATTTGCACAGTATCTCCCTCCAAAAATCTGTGTAGGAAGGGAAAAGTGTTTCCTGCTGACTGTGGCTGGAGCAGTTGCTAAGGTTCCAAGATTTCTGAGGTTTTTGAATTTTTGAGATGCTCAGGTTCTCATCTTGTGTTCCCCTGTGTTAATTCAGGGAATTAATCCATTTTCTATGCTGATTATCTCATGCTCTGTACTTACCTCAGGGGTAATATATGGAAACAAATGCTTTGCCATGTAAGAAAGCTCTTTGTGGAATACTACTTAAATTTTATGAAAACTTGGAACTTAAATGCTTATCTCAAGTGTGAAGTGTTTCCTCTTTGAGCAATTCAGGACTATAAACACTTTTTGTACAGTCATGGCTAATTGAGGGTTTCAGATAGCTCTAAGAGTTACCACATGCTGCAGCAAAGAAAGGGATTACAGAATTTCTCAGGCTCAAAACTAAGTTGTTTTTCTGTTCCTGTGCCAGCTTTCTTACAGTAAAGCTGTATTTAAATTGTCTTGTTTAAAATACTTACAGAATTTTTAATTTCTGAGTGTTTTCTGTAAGATCAGTGGATTTTTACTTTTGTTTTCAGAACATAGTTGTGAGTGCCTTCATAGAACTGGATAATTTTAGAAATGAATTTTTTGAAATACAAGCTTCTATGTGGTGGTTTGTTTGTTTGGTTTTTTTTTTGTTTTTAATTTATTTTTTAACCATCTAAGCTGTGGTATCACATTATCACTGCAGTCACATAACTGGAATCTCCTCCTTCATACAGAAACCTCAGAGGAAAGCCCTGAAAACCAGAGGAATGTTAACTCTTCAGGAAATCAAAAACATCCACGTGAGTAAAAGCAATAATTCACAAACCCTTCTTTTGGCTGATTTCCCTTAAATATCCATCTGGATGACAGAGCACCTGCCACAACAAGTGTGCTGAGCACTAAATTATTACAGCACATTTGGAGCTGTCCAGGAGGGATTTGAGGTATAAATCTGATCTCAGAGCTCCAAATTCCCTCTGGAAAGCAGGAGAAGGTGTAAAATTGGCCATCTTTGGTTGCTGTAATGGCCCTTCCATTTCTTTTATCTATTTCAGTTTGTAAGGACTGTCCCTACAGGTGTTTAATTTAAATTCTTTCCTGCTGCAGGTGAAACGCCACTTGGATCCACTCCCAGCTGGTTATTTTTACAATGGGACTCAATTTGTGAATTTTTTTGGTGACAAAATGGATTATCATCCATGTATCCTTTAAAATGGGAGCTTTTGGGGAAGGTTTTAGGTAGGCAGTGAACTGTGCAGCTCTGAAATGTTAAGTGCCAAAGCAGATATGGTAAAGAACCAGTTCCTTGCCAGCTAAAGCTTAGTTTTAAAGCCTTTCTTGAGAGATAAGATCTCAGAAACAGAATAGAACCAACAAAACAAACCCCAAACTGCCCATGAGCTCATGCAGGGGATAATTTATGGACCACAGCTTGTCAAAGAAATATTTTTCAAACCAAATAGTGCTGTAATAGCCCTGAATGCCTGGGCACGACTGATAAAACTTCCAAATGAATGTAATTTCATGTGTGCACACACTCAAGTGAAAACAATCATATTTTTGTCCTTAGTTTTACCCTGGGATTCCTTGCCAAGGTTCCTCTTGTCCTTGGTCACCACCTGTGGAGCTGGGGCAGTGGTGGCCATGGCAGTGCTGGGTTTACAGCTGCACTTGGTGATCTCAGAGGGCTTTTCCAGCCTTCATGATTCTGTGATTCTCTCATTTTCATGACTTCCTGTTGCTTTTGTCTTTGCTCACCAGCTTCCAACTTGGTTTTATATTCCCAGTTTACTTTTCACAGTAACTTCTCCAAGCTTGGTAAAAATCCAGGTGATGCTGCTGTGGAATAAGAACAGAGTTATTTTCTGTGCCCTGTGGGACAACTTTAAAATTTTAAACAAGCAGATTTCTGTCTGCAGGACACAAAACCCAACAGCAAACTTGGACTTTGCTGAAAAATTCTTGATGCCCCATCCCTGGCAGTGTCCAAGGCCAGGTTGGTGGGGCTTGGAGCACTCTGGGATAGTGGGAGGTGTCCCTGGCCATGGCAGGGCATGGGATGAGGTGGACTTTAAGCTCCTTCCACCCCAAACCATTCCAGGATTCTTCACTCCACCTCCCCCTTGGTGTGTGGCAGGGAGAGCTGCAGGCCTGGTTAAGCCTTTCTGGGGGATTTGAATTTTGGGCAGAGTTTTAGACTTGTGCTTCAGCAGAACAACTGGAAATGTGTTCACAGAGTCCCAGAATGGTTTGGGTTGGAAGGGATCTTGAAGCTGATCTCGTTCCAGCACCTTCCAGGGATGGGGAGTCCAAAACCTCTTTGGGCAACTCATGCCAGGGTCTCACCACCTTCCCAGGGAAGAATTTGTTCCTAACATCCCATTTAACCCTGCTATGGTTTTGCTGTTCTTAGATCTTCCTCCTGGCTGGGAAATGTCCCTTGTGCAGTTCCTTTATTCCCTGAGTTGTGGTAGCTCTGACTGTAGAACTTCCAGAAAGTTATATATTGAATTTCTGCTTTCAGTGAGTGTCCCATTCCTAGCACTTCCTTCAAACCTGGATGTTTTCTTCTACTAAACTCCCTTTGCACAAACATTCTTCCTTCACCTTTCCCAACCAGTAATGGACCAGTTCATGAATGATTACTTGGAAGAAGCCAACAGAGAAATTGAGAAGTACAACAGGGAGCTGGAGGAGCAGGAGTACCACGACCTCTTTGAGCAGAAGATTTAAGCACGTGGATCCTGAGTGTTCCTGTCCTTGTGTCAGGAACCAAAAATGCTATTTTGTCCTTCTGGCTCACAAGAAACCGAGTGAAATGTCTGTTTTCAGCACTCCTTCCCAAACTAAGGGATTGTTCCCCTAAGGTTGGCATTTAACACGGTAACTGCTTAGCTGTTTGTACTGTCAGGATTGCTTCCACTTCACCTTAATTCCAGACTGTACAAAGCATCACCTGGAATCTCTGGCTTGTGGTGGAAACATGGGAAAAAGAAGAAGAAGAAGGAGAAGAAAAGAAGCAAAACTGGATTTATTTCCTAAAAAAGGTCAGAATGTAATTGTGGAATTGGGCCATGGTGCAGATATCAAACAATCCCTGGATGTCCCTTGGAAATCGTTGCACCGGAGCATCGATGGTCAGTGGGGGAGTTCAGGGTGTGGGATTGGGGTGTTCCCAAAGCCAGAAATGGGGGAACAGACTCAGAGGAGTCCCCAATCCCAGAACTGTTTGAGTGTTCCCGAAGCAAAAAATGGGGGAATAATTAAAAAGAGTAAGAGTCCCTAATCCCACAGCTGCTGGGATGTTCCCAAAGCGAGAAATGGGGGAACAGTGGGGAAAACTCAGAACTGAGTCCCTAATCAGCAGTTGTTGGGGTGTTCCCAAAGCAAAAAATGGGGGAATTATTAAAAAAAGTAAGAGAGTCCCTAATCCCACAGCTGCTGGGATGTTCCCACAGTGAGAAATGGGAGAACACTTTCTTGGAGTCCCTAATCCCACAGTTGCTGGTGTGTTCCCAAAGCGAGAAATGGGGGAACAACTCAGAAAAATCCCTAATCCCACAGCTCTTGGTGTGGTCTCAAAGCAAGAAATGGGGGAACAATTGGAAAAACTCAGAACTGAGTCCCTAATCAGCAGTTGTTGGGGTGTTCCCAAAGTGAGAAATGGGAGAATGATTCAAAAGTTTAGAATTCCTGTATCTGCAGCTGTTGGGATGTTCCCAAAGCGAGAAATGGGGGAACAATGGGGAAAACTCAGAGTGGAATCCCCGATCCCACAGCTTTCAGAGAGTTCCCGAAGTGAGAAATGGGGGAGTGGGAAAACTCAGAACTGAGTCCCTGATCCCACAGCTGTTGGTGTGTTCCCAAAGTGAAAAATGGGGGAACAACGGAAAAAACCCAGAAGAGTCCCTAATTAAAAGCTGTTGGGATGTTCCCAAAGCGAGAAATGGGGGAACAGTGGGGAAAGCTCAGAAGTGAGTCCCTGATCCCACAGCTGCTGGGGCATTCCCAAAGGGAAAAATGTGGAAACAGTGGGAAAAACTCAGAAGAGCCCCTAATCCCAGAGCTGTCAGGGTGTTCCCAAAGCGAGAAATGGGGGAACAATGGGAAAAGCTCAGATGGGGACCTAATCCCACAGCCCTTGGTGTGTTCCCAAAGTGAGAAATGGGGGAACACTTTCTCAGAGTCCCTAATCCCACAATTGTTGATGTATTGCCAAAGCAAGAAATGGGGGAACAGAGGGAAAAACTCAGATGAGCACCTCATCCCACAGCTGCTGGGATGTTCCTAAAGCGAGAAATGGGGGAACAGTGGGAAATATTCAGAACTGAGTCCCTAATTCCAGAGCTGTTGGTGTGTTCCCAAAGCAAGAAATGGGAGAATGATTTAAAAAATTTAGAATCCCTAAATCTGCAGCTGTTGGGATGTTCCCAAAGCGAGAAATGGGGGAACAGTGGGAGCAACTCAGAAGAGTCCCTAATCCCAGAGCTGTCAGGGTGTTCCCAAAGCGAGAAATGGGGGAGCAATGGGAAAAATTCAGAACTGGGTCCCTAATTCCAGAGCTGTTGGTGTGTTTCCAAAGCAAGAAATGGGAGAATGATTCAAAAGTTTAGAATTCCTGAATCTGCAGCTGTTGGGATGTTCCCAAAGCGAGAAATGGGGGAACAATGGGGAAAACTCAGAATTGAGTCCCTAATCCCAGAGCTGTCAGAGCATTCCCAAAGCAAAAAATGGGGGAGTGGGAAAAGCTTGGATGAGCACCTAATCCCACAGTTAGGATGTTCCCAAAGTTACAGATGGGGGAACAATGGGAAAAATCCAGAAGAGTCCCTAATTAAAAGCTGTTGGGATGTTCCCAAAGCAAGAAATGGGGGAACAGTGGGGAAAGCTCAGAAGTGAGTCCCTGATCCCACAGCTGCTGGGGCATTCCCAAAGTGAAAAATGTGGAAACAGTGGGAAAAACTCAGAAGAGCCCCTAATCCCAGAGCTGTCAGGGTGTTCCCAAAGCGAGAAATGGGGGAACAATGGGAAAAGCTCAGATGGGAACCTAATCCCACAGCCCTTGGTGTGTTCCCAAAGCGAGAAATCGGGGGACAATGGGAAAAGCTCAGAATGGAGTTCCTGATCCCACAGCTTTCAGAGAGTTCCCAAAGTGAGAAATGGGGGAACAATTGGAAAAGCTCAGAATGGAGTTCCTGATCCCACAGCTTTCAGAGAGTTCCCAAAGTGAGAAATGGGGGAACACTTTCTCAGAGTCCCTAATCCCAGAGCTGTTAAGATGTTCCCAAAGCAAGAACTGGGGGAACAGTGGGGAGAACTCAGAACTGAGTCCCTGATCCCACAGCTGCTGTTGTGTTCCCAAAGCGAGAAATGGGGGAACACTCTCCAGAGTCCTTCATCCCAGAGCTGTCAGGGCAATCCCAAAGGGAAAATTGTGGAAACAGTGGGAACAATTCCAAAAAGTCCCTAATCTCAGAGGTGTCAGGGTGTTCCCAAAGAGAGGGATGAGGGAACACTCCCACTCCCACCTTTGCCAGGGCTCAGCCCATCTCAAACCTCAGCACAGTTTGAGTCTGCACTGAAAATTCTGACTTTAAAGAAAAGCTATTTATACATTTCAGGGTGAAATCAGTGGAGAAATCTTAATTTCTTCCCAGTGCTCTCATTGGGATTCTGGAAAATATTTCCTGGCTGGCTGCAATGTGCACCTTGCTTAGATTATCCCTGGAGGATTCCTATTGCAGTCCTAAAAACCAGGCAAGGCAAGGGGGAGAGTCTTCAGCTGAAGAATTCCTTTTCATGAAGATAAATGATTTCCAAAGGTAAAAAATAGCAAAGGATATTACTTGAAAGAGGCAGGAACTTGTTTGTGGAGCTTCCAGAAGAGTTTGCACGCCGTCACATTTCACTGTGCTCGTGAGAAATCAGCTTTTTAAGTATTGCAACAGAATTTTTATAGTTCCTAAATGATAGAACAGGAATGCTGGCAGCCTGTTGTGACTTAATTCAGAATCATTTTAAAGAAGGCTTTATAAATCCCTGCCTGAAGGATTATAAAGTACCTTAGCAGCTACTTACAGGTAATTATTGGAGTTTATTTGAATAAGCAGTTTATTGTAGCATGCATGTGTTCAGAATTTAGGTGAGAGCAGCCCAGCAGGAATTTTTTATTTTCATATTCCTTTGCCTTAGGGACAGCTCAATCTTTTACTGCAACTGCAGCTTTTCTTTCTGACCAGATGTTTGTGATACAGCAAGAAATGGAATGAAAAATCTCTTGCAGGACACTTAAAATACTTCAAATGTATCTGCACAGCCTCATCCCGAGGCAGGAAAATGAGATTTAACCCCTGCCATCAAACCTGAGGCTAAATTAAGAGTTTATGCTTTGCTAAAGAGATGTATTTTTTACCTTTGGAACATGAAATAAGTGAAATTTCAGTGACCTGAAGCACATTTTAGGTGGTTTTGGTTTTCTTTGCTGGCTGCCTGTGCAGAGGTGGAATTCCAGGTGCTGCAGGCTGGGATAGAAATATTGATAAGATTTCATTCCTCGCTTTCCTCCTAGATTTAAAAAGCTGTCTGAATTGAAGACTTTAGTGTTTTATTTCCTTTTCTTTTTTTGCACACCACGAGACTTTATATAAAAACAACTTGTATCCTGTTAGAGGCCAGTAAAAGCCAGCAATTAGTTTGTGTTTTTAGGCTTTCCTGGGGTATTCCCTGGATCACAAGTGTGGAGCATCCTGGTAAAGCTCGTGAGTTTTATCTATGCATGGCTAAATTTTAGTCTTAATATCCTGTAGTGCCTGTAGAGCAAAGGTAGCTAGCAGTGGGTTTGGGGGGGCTGCCAGGGGTTTACAACTAAATCCAGTTGGTTGCATGAAATTATTTCACAGCCCAGAATTTTTAGGGATCCCAAAAATTCTGGTGGCGGCGCTGCAATAAAAAGGGGCATTAGGAAATTGAACTCCAATTGGAATTGCTTTGCCAATTAACTCAGTGTAAACCCAGCTGTTCCAGTCCCAGTTCTCTCACCTGCAAAGCCATATTTTTAGAGTAGTGGGATGTGATGTGGGAAGAAATTCCAGTGGTTGGGACAGCAGGCACGTGGTGAAGGCTTTGTCTCAACTCGTGATGGATACAGAGTAGATTTAAGTGCAATTGATTGAAAATAGATGAAGATGCTGTAGCTGATTTTTGCTCTGCTGAACTCTTTTTAAGAACTCCAATTTGTGCAGCTCTCAAATCAATATGGATGGGGCTTGATCCAGCTGGAATTCCAAGCCCTGTGAACAAAATAAAAAACAAAGGAAATAATTGGGTTGTGAGTGTGCAAATTGAGGTGTTCCTTAAAAACTGGAGCAGAAGAGCTCGGAACAAAGGCCTAGAACCCTCCTGTCCTGTGCTGCATGTGCTCTATGGTCATAGCTGTGTATTACAAAGACCTTTCACCAGACTGCTACTGGCTCAATTCATGTATTTTGGTATTGAAAGAAATTGATTACCTCAATTTTTAGCGTTTATTTTTGAACTGTGACTTTCAACCAGAACAAAAAAAAAAAAAAAAAAAGAAAAAAAGAAAAATACCGAAATAGTGAAACTGTGACAATGGTATCCTTTAAATGTAGTAGTGCCTTGCAGATGACACCATTTATTCCCCAAATAAATGGATGTCAGGGGTTGCACACCCCCCCTTTTTTTGTTTTTTAAAGGAAAATAACGGTTTTGGTGAAAGGACTTAAAAATTTAACCTAGTGACAAATATTAGCACAAATGGTTAAACTGTTTAAAAGAAAACTCTTTGAGGACTGAAATGCCTGATGCTGCTGCTGTTAAAGAGCAGTTGCTGATTTTTTGGGAGTCGATTCTAACAATCAGCAGCGCTTTTTGAATTTATTTTATTTTATTTTTTTTTTAAGAAGAGTGTAACTTTTGTACTCTGGTCAGAGCTGTTTGTACTGTATGCAATCCCCAGCCCAGGGGATTTGGTGTCCTCACTCCTTGGAACTCGAGGTGAGGATGGAGCTACTCCGAAGGATTGAGGTTTGAACTTTTTTTTTCTACTGTATAATTAAAAAAAAAATCAACAACAACAACAAAAAAAAAAAGCACCATTTCTAACCCACAGATGTTTGGATACAGCAAAAGTGCCATTACACCTTTCCTTTTCTCTTTTACTGTACTTGGAAAAATTTGTGTCCAGGCATTCCTGAGCTTGGGAAGTGCTGAAGAGTCCTCAAGGGGTTTCCACGCTTTGCTGACCTTTGTTAGCAGCTTGTGGTGGTGTTTTTTTCTTTCTCCTCACCGAGAATGAGTGTGATCAGAAGTTACTGAAGTTATAGGATTCAAATGTGACAAACTTAGCAGGGGAACCTTTGCAACTTGAGCTGCTCTGCAATCTGGGAGTATTTGAATTTTAAGCTGTGCAATTTGGGATTAATCCAGTTTTACACTTTGCAATTAACACACTGGATTGCAGGGAGGAGTTAAGTTGCATGTGAGGGTTCCCTAATAAGTTGGAATTTTTTTAAAAAATTATTGTTATTTTTTAATTGAAACTTGTCTGAATTTGCACAGATTTAAGCTCTGGAATACTTTGGTATTCTTGAAAAGGGAAAAAAAAATTGTGACTAGTATAGTGAATTGTGAACTGTGAGTTGGTAGAACCACAAGGTTGATCTAATCTTAGGTTGTTAAAAATGTACCTCAGAAAGCTCATGAGAAATTGCTTCATTTTTACCCAACAGCCAGATCCTGATGTAACACTTCTCACTTTACAATGTGCCAAAATTCACTTTTATACTAGTTCTCAATGCTTTAATATTTGCAAGTCTAAGTTAAAAACGTGTTATTTACAAACACTACTGTAACTTCAGTTCAGCTGAATGGTGTGAGTGAAGCTTTTTGCCTCTCGTATTTATTACACAACTTGATTCAGTAAATATAAAATTACCTTTCCATTTATTTTTGTATTGTTTTACATGTTTATACCTGCAGTTTGTGTGACTTTTACACCTGTAACTCAGATGTGATGGAAAAGAACCAATAAACAGTATCCATCCACTGCCTGCCTTTGACTCCTTTAATAAACCCACAGGTTCCTCAACTGGAATTTTTAAACTTGGAGTGGTTTCCATTTTAAATTTTTAAACTATAAAGGTGAGTTGTTTGTATTCAAATTAAAATATAAAAAGTTAATGTTTTATGGGGTGTTTTTTAGCTGCTGTTTTAAGTTTAGACCTTCCTTCAGCTTTTAATTGGGTAAAATTAAAATTGGAAGAAGATTCATCTGCTTTGTGCTGCTGCCTCTTTCTCAGCAGCTGTGTGTGAGCATAAATTGATATTTGCATATTTACAAATACAGGGAGGTGCTAAACCTTCCTCCTTGTGCTCACAGAAACCAGGATGCAGCTTCAAGATCCGTGCATCTCAAATCTGGCTGCCATGGAGAGGGCAATCCCACCTTACCCTTCTTTCCCTGAGGGGCTGAGCATGAATCTGATTTTTGCTGATTAAGCTGAGCCTGCAGCTGATTTTCTGTCTCTTTTTACATCACTTTTGCATTTTTGGGGGGAGGTTGTGTGCTCGATTTGGTTTTTAGGAACAGTTTATGTAAATCCAGCCTGCTTTGCATGTTCCAGGTGCTCACATAAAGCAGCAGCTTCTGGGGCTTGGATTTTGGACTGGGATCCAGGAGTTTTCCCGTGCTGTGCAGCTGGGTTTGGAAAGCAGCTCCCAGCTGTAAATCAGGAATTTGGGTGGCAGCAGGACCAGGGCAGTGCCCATGCCCTGTGCTGGCACTGCTGGGGCACCTCCAGTGCTGGGGGTGGTTTTGGGGTCTCCAGAGGGGCTGGAGCCCCAGGAGGGGCTGAGGGAGCTGGGAAGGGGCTCAGCCTGGAGAAAAGGAGGCTCAGGGGGGACCCTGTGGCTCTGCACAGCTCCTGACAGGAGGGGACAGCCGGGAGGTTTGGGATCTCCTCCCAGGGAACAGGGACAGGAGCAGAGGGAACGGCCTCAGGCTGGGCCAGGGGAGGTTTAGATTGGGAAAATTTCTTCATGGAAAGAGTTACTGCTCATTGCTCAGAAGCTCTCCAAGATTATCAAGTCCAACTGTTCCCCCAGCACTGCCAAGGCCACCACTGACCCTGTCCCCAAGTGTCACATCCACGTGGCTTTTCAATCCCTCCAGGAATGGGGACTCCACCACTGCCCTGGGCAGCTGTGGCAGGGCTGGACACCCCTTTCCATGAAAAAAATGGGAAGTTAAAAATGCTTTGTGAGGCTTTAGATTGTGGGGAACTATCTGAGTTTCATTTCCTAAGAGAGATGAGGTAGATTTTCCTGGGCATACCCCAAATCAGGGTTTTTAGTCCCGTTTCTTGCTCTTAATTATCTCATTTTGGTCAGTCTGGTTGTATCTGGAGAGGTTTCCAGCTCTCCTTGGCTTTTCATGAGCTCCTCTTCCTTCCCTGTGAACTCATCTGGAATTTCTTTGCCTACGTGTCCACCAACAAATGGTGCCTTTTTAGCTTCATAAATTACCAGCCTAATTAAAGTAATGAATTCCCAACAGGAATTGCATGGAAATGGGAGCACTTGTTAATTGAATAGCCCCGGGTTGGCTCCCATTGTACACGTTCCACAAGGTGCTTGTGTGATCCCTCCTATTGAATTGGCTTAAAATAAACCTTCAGGGCAGTTTGATGTCTTGGTAGGAAAGAAAACACCCAATGGGCAAGGCCTGGAGGAATTTCAATAGCTTTACTGCTTCAGGACAGACAGAAAAACAACAACAAGAAAAAAAAAAAAAGCATGGAAAGTAAAATGTGGGTGACCCATTCATGGCTAGGAATTCAGCAGGCACACAATGCATTGTATAGATCACTGCAAAGAGTGAAACAGGAAATTTCTAATGGTTCAAATTGAGCCCTCGCTCAACCCCACCAAAAATCTGCCATTTTTCTGTCTTATCAAAGTTAGCTCAATATTTGCTTTATATACATCCTGTTCCGGACTTTGATTCCTCTATACAGCACCTTCCTGCCTTCTAATATCTGATTTATTGCAGAGCCCTTTTTCTTCCAAAGGTTTGGCTTTGCCTGCTTTAACTCTTTATCTTGTCAGCCTCGGCCACAGCCTTTCCTTGGGCCTCTCCTTGCTTTGGGAAGCTCTGGAGAAAGGATAACAGATGAGCTGGAAGAGAAGGAAGAGGCTACAGGGGCTCTAGAGATGGGCACAGGATTTTTGGGACAGAGATCTGGAATATCCAAGGTGCTTAAGTTCATCGAGCCAGAAACTGGGATCTTAAAGATCATCCAGCTCCAATCCCCTGTCCTGGGCAGGGACACCTTCCATCATCCCAGGTGGATCCAGCCTGGCCTTGGGCACTTCCAGGGATCCAGGGGCAGCCACAGCTGCTCTGGGCACCCTGTGCCAGGGCTCAGCACCCTCACAGGGAACAATTCCTGCCAATATCCCAGCTCTCCTGGAGCCCCTTCAGGCCCTGGAAGGTGTTTGAAGGTGTCCTCAGACCCTCCTCTTCTCCAGGATCTGGATCCTTCCCCCCCGTCCCAGCTGTGGGGCTGGATTGGGATCTCTGCCCCCCCCAAGCTGTGGGGTTCTTTGAAGTCCCTTGCCCATCCCAGGGGAATGAGGAGGAAGTTCTCTGCTCCAGGTCAGGATGGATGTCACCAGCCCTCAGGGAAGGTCCCAGAGGCAGGCTGGATGCTGAAGACTCCTGAAAGATGTGTTTCCTGTGCAACAATAGGGAATTTTGTTCTATTTCCCTGTGGAACCTCTTGAGGTAAGTGCTGAAGTTCCTCCTGTTCCAGCAGACACATCCCTCCTCCCTTTGCTGGCACACAGGAGAGCACAAAGACAGAACTGCAAATTGTGGTGCCTCCTAAATGCCTTGAGCTGTCAGAGCTGCCCCATTCACTGTGTTCCATCCTGAATGGACCGTGGGATTATAGGACATGGGGAATGGCTTCCCACTGCCAGAGGGCAGGGGTGGATGGGAGATTGGGAAGGAATTCTTCCCTGTGAGAGTGCTGAGCCCTGGCACAGGGTGCCAAGAGCAGCTGTGGCTGCCCCTGGATCCCTGGAAGTGTCCAAGGCCAGGTTGGAGTCACCTGGGACAGTGGAACGTGTCCCAGCCCATGGCAGCAGGTGGAATGAGACAATCTTTAACGTCCCTTCCAACCCAACCCATTCCATGATTCCCTGCATTCCCTGCAACTTTCTTTCTTCTGAAGATGGAGTAAAAAATCTCCTTGAATTATGCAATTTTCCCCTAAAATCTAAAAGGCCCTGCTGCCCCCTGCCCTGTGCCTGGCAGTGGGATGTGGTCATGACAGAGCAGGGCTGATAAGAGATTTCTCTTCTCAAAGGCAAGGCTTGGTGTGTGCTGCAGATTAAAATCACTGCTGCAAAGCAAATGAAACACAAATGAAACACAAATGTTTTGGGTTTGGCTGGCTTTGGGAAGGGTGTCCCTTCCGCTGGCCGCTGTTTGTTTGCTTAGGTGAGGTGGGTGCAAGTTCTAACAATAAACTTTCCTGGGAACACGATGGGAGAGGTCAGGGAAAAAGGAGAAACCAGCAGCAGGCGTGGGATGGGATCCTGGGGGGATGTGGGAGGATGGAGTGGGCACAGAAGGAGGTGGGATGTGCTCCTTCCTGGGAATGTCTCATCCACCTCACAGGGAGAGAGGGTCATTGCTTTGGGCCTTGGGTCCTTTCAGCTCTCCTGCCAAGGTAAGTCATTGAAGGGGTTAAATCAGCGTGGGGTAAGAGAAGAAAGGATGCAGGGTGGTTATGGATGCCCCTGGAAGTGTCCAAGACCAGGCTGGACAGGGCTTGGAGCAGCCTGGGACAGTGGGAGGTGTCCCTGCCCATGGCAGTGGTGGAACTGGATGATCTGTAAGGTCCCTTCCCACCCAAACCATTCCATGATTCCATCACTACAATTTAAGGAAGGAAACTTGCAGTTTGAGCCTGGTTGAAACAGGAAGAGAAAAATCCCATGGTCAGGTCAGAGCAGGTGGCTCCAAACCTTGTCCAGCCTGGCCTTGGACACTTCCAGGGACCCAGGGCAGCCACCCTGTGCCAGGATCTCGTAGCAAAGAGTTTCTTCCTAACACCACTTCTAGGAACCAGCCCCTGGCTCAGGGACATGAGGAGGGACAGCCCAGCATCATCCAGGATCTGCTAAACTCCATCCTGCACTCGCTGCTCCCTCTGGGATGCAGGGTTCAGTTCCTGGGAAGCTCCTGCTGCCTCTGGCTCCCAGACAGAGCTGAGCTCACCCATCTGCTCTGTCTTGGCAGCAGGGGAGGGGAGGAACAACAATCCTTTCCAATCCAAGCCCAATGTGTGCACAAAGAGCCCCGAGGATTGCTCTGGCACAGCCCCTGGCAGGGGAACACGGCTGCTGGAGTGGGCCAGGGAGGAGTTTTCCCCCTGTCCTGGCTTTTTGTTAGAAGTGAACATTTCTGACTGTCTGCAGCCAGCCTGCCGTGGCCGAACGTCTCTTGCTCTCCACGGAGGTGTTCTCATCCCTTTTGTGGCTTTGGGAGCCCATCCAACGTTTCCAGCACAATTCCTGCACTGTTGCAGAGAGCCTTCAAAGGCTGAGACATGAAGATACTGGTTTGGGACTCATGGTTTTCTCTCAGGAGGTTTCCATCGCTGCCCAGGCCTGTAATCTACATTCCACCTTACTAACAGGACAACGAGGAGCAAATCAACATTTTCTTTGCGACCTGGACATTGGAGAGGTTTTGTGATCATTTAAAATCTTGGTTTTTCTGCTCTGGGTGTGCAGTTGTCTGTCTAACCTCATCCAGACCTGTTTTCCTTCCTGTCCCCCCCAGGTGCGGGCACAGGGAAGCTGTGGCTGCCCCTGGATCCCTGGAAGTGCCCAAGGCCAGGTTGGATGGGACTTGGAGCACCCTGGGATAGTGGGAGGTGACCCAGCCCATGGATGGGGTGGGATGAGATGATCCTTAAGGTCCCTCCCAGCCCAACCCATTCTGGAATTCTAAAGCAAAGGTGAAGGATGCTC